TGTTTATAATGGTATGACAGAATAGCACATAGAAGATCCTTAGACAGGGTCACAGAGTTGATGTAGCAAGTATACATATCATTTTTTTTTTATTTGGGTTTAAAATGGCCTGTGAGCATCTTCTCTTCCCACTTAAATGCAATTATTAAAGTTAATTAATCACCTTGAATTGATTAGCACCCAAAGATTGACGTAGATCACAAAATTTAGAATTTAATAAAGCCAGGGATATTTATTAAATACTCTATTTTATGGATATTTATATTCTGATATTTATTTATTCAGTTTGATTGATGGCCGGTCATGGCCCGCACGCTCTGTTGGTCTCGAGATAGGTGCAATATGCACAGATTTAAGGTGCGTTTGAGAGAGCGTTTCAAACAATTTATTGTTGTAAAAGTCGTTTAAATAAATGGTGATTAAAATAATAACTGTTTTAATTTAATGGTAAATTTTAAATTTAAAAAATAGAAACTTAATAGGCCAGTATATGTGATTGTAGTAATTTAATCGTATTATTGTTATTTTTACTTTAATTACTTTAGTATCATCACTTTTCTGAATGCATCTTTAATAATGCCATGCATAGGTTTAGGTGTGGTCTCATGCATTTAAAACAATGGTCCATGCATCGTACTATTCTCTACTGTGAGTCGAGTTGGATTGTGCTCACAATCACGACAGAGCCAGAAATTCAGTTGAGGGGGCGAAGCAGTATGGACGGATTCAGAAAAAAATTTCAATAGAGGCGAAACATTAAAATTAAAGAGATAATTTAAAAAAAAAATAAATTACCTGAGAAATATAGTTGTAAATATTGTTGGATATGAACGAAAAATAAAACACATTGAAACTTTATAAAAATATTCATAACAAAATATGAAACATAATTAATTTGATAAAATAGTTTGAATAGAAAACACATTATAAATTACACATCTCATTATTAATATAAAAGAATGTTATATGTGTGTGTGTTAAATATTTAAAAAGTAATTAAAAACGTGACTGTGTTGAAGCTATATGGGAATGAGTCAAAAAAACTGTAAAACTATATATGAGGTGGGGGTAAGATGATGGGGGCAACTACCCCCCGCCCCTAGTGTTAAACTATTATTTATAAAATAAATAAATAAAAAAACAAACAAAATTTAATTCAAATTTAATTCAAAATCCTTTAACGTTACGTATCTTTTATAAGAGTCAAACTAACCTCATTGTTCTTATAAATGGTGTGGTATTATAAGTTGAAAACATTGGTCCATGTGTATTACTATTTTTTACTGAGTGACTAATCCAGATTGCGTCTATCGAGTTTGACTCTTACCTAAAATAAAATTTGACTCAAAACTTTATATAAGACTGGAGCCAAATCAATTTTATCACTCTTCTAAATACACCTTGAATAATGAATCCCACTCTTGAAACACAGCCTAACTAGTTAATCAGCCCATAATATGTTCATAAATTTTGCTGCCCATCGAGGCACATCTTGTAATTGTCACCTGTGTTCAAGCGGTTTATGGTAAAAGCGGGTTCATATATAGTTATGAATAATGTGTAGCCAAGATGTGGTCTCATACATTGAAAACAAGGGTCCATACAAATGGTAGTACAAAACCATGGGCGACATTATTGTTGGATATCATGTGCAGCTTTGTATTGTTGTTCTTAATAACACTTGTTTTCTTTCTCTCATTTTTTATATATATTCCATTTTTACCAATGGTGAAAGTCTTCATAGGATTTAACGGCATCAACGGTTAATAATAACAGTTCCAATCATGCATATATCAAATGTTTTTGTTTTCAATTATTGTATCGCCGCCACTACAATCTACGTTGTCTGTGGCCTGTTTTGCGTTGAACCTAAATATACGATGTTTTTTTTGGGGGGGGGGGGGGGGGGGGGGAATTTATAATAATGTTTATTTATTTATTTATTTAAAATAATCATTACGAAATTAATTCAAATTCGTTTCAAATATAACATATTTTTACAATAATGTTTATTTATTTTTTGAACAGTCAACAAAATAAACTTTTCAAGCGTGATGACAGCAGCCAAGAACCCTAATTTCAAAAAAAGTCAAGAACTGTATATGAGCTAATCGAAAGGGATTATTGAAGCCGAATATTACCTCATAAAAGTTAGAAAATTCAATTCAAAATTTGATTTAAGTTCGACCAATAATATTTATTTTTTAAAGTTTGGGTTTAATTTGACTATGGATTTTCAATTTTGAATTATTAGAGTTTAGCTTGAATGGATTAAAGAATTATTTTTTTCATGTTTAATTTAGATATAAATATAATAGAATGAATTTATAATTTATAATTCGTAATATAATAAATTCTCATAGAGTAAAACTCGCATAACGTGTTATGATTTTATTCATAAAAAAAAAATAAAAAATGGTATGTGCCGGGTTCCGTTAAGTATATTTGACTGAAATTATTTACAATTTTATTTTTCATAATATTAAATTTAAAATTAATATGTAAATTTTATATATTAAAAAATTAGATTAAAAGTATTATTAAACATAAAAATTTAATTTTAAATTTTTGGCGGAGAAAGAAAACAAAGGAAGATCACATTAAAGTTGCATTGCATGCAGGAAAAAATGAAACAAAATAGAGATTGAGACAAATGTAACAAATTAAGTGGGCAGCCACGTCATACTCTTCAAACAAAACAACCCCACCGCTAGTTCAGAGATTCCTCTGCCGTTACAGTTTGACAACACGTGACGCCTCCATCCCCCACACATGCGGTAAAAAAAAAAAAAAAAAAAAAAAAAAAGAGAAAATGGCACTTTTTCCCCTTTTTGTTATATACTTATAGCACTTTTTCCCCTTAAATTATTTAAGTGACAGTTTTTCCCCCTGATATATTAAATGGACATATTTACCCTTAAAATAAATATTTCATCATTTATTTTTCTTCTCCAACAAATTATAACCACGATTTGAAAAAATAAAATACATTAAGTGTTGAATTTAGAATATTTTTTTTTTTTAAATAAAATTTTAAAAGAAAGTTTGAATCAACCGTTCAAATTGGATCCAAAATCGTGAACCGACGGTTCAAAATAAAACTCAAATCGCGATTATATATACTTATATGTGAGAGTCAATATAAATACGGAAAAAAATATACACTATTTGTAAATATTATAATTCTAATTTAAGTTATTGCTAGTAGTTGTTCCGATTTGAACCTCCAGTTCACGGTTCAGGATCCATTTTTTTCCAGTTCACAATTTTAATAAACGGAAACCCAAATATTGGGTTATGTTATGAATCATAACCGAAATTTTTTAATTTGATTGCTATAGTGTTTGGTTCAGTTCGAACCGAACCGTGGTCATCCCTACGTATAAGCAATAATTTGTTGAAGAAGAGAAATAAATAAAATATTTATTTTAAGGGTAGAAATGTCCATTTAATATTATCAGGGGGAAAAACCGTCATTTCTATAATAATTGAGGGGGCAAATGTGAATGCATGAATACTAGGGGGAAAAAGTGCTATAAGCATATAACACAGGGGGAAAAAGTGTCATTTTCTCAAAAAAAAAACTATAAATTCCCCTAACCGTGGGTAAAACCTTAAATCAACAAAAGTCAAAGGATTGAAATTCACTAACCTCGGTCCTTCCACTATAGTGATTTTATCATATTTAATCTTAAATTTTTAAATTGGTTGTAGTTCTTTGACTTTCAAATTATTATTATTTATAGACCACAAATGGTAACAGTTTAAAAATTTAAGATTAAACGTGACAAAATTACTATATTCGAAAGACTCCAAATAGTATTAACTCATAATAAAAATATTCCACATCATTTTATTTGAAATTTATTTAATATGAAATAAATAAATAAAAGCTAACCTAACAATGTAAGACGATTGATAAAATAGACTATTAATGCAATTGTTACAAGGGAGGTTCAATTCTTGTATATAGCGGTAGTTAAGATTTTCCTTTTTGAGTAAAATCAATTTTACATGCATTAGGTCAAGTATTTTCTTAGTAAAAGTTAAACTTTTCGAGCATTGTTTTTTTTTTTTTTTTTTTTTTTTTAAATCAAATGCGCAATACAATCAGGAATATTCAAAATCCAACTAGAAGGACCAGTTTGAGAATGAGTAGCCCTAGTCAAAGCATGAGCACACTGATTCACTTATCTTGGGGCAAGCTTAAAAGACACTATTTCGAGCATTGTTTTTTGTTCAATATAGATTAGCGTCACAGAATACTGGATGTTATATGTGATTGAAATGAAAACAGTTTAATTTCTTTTAGATATGTTGGCGAATACAAATACAGTTTACATAAATGGTTGTCGTGTTGGTCCCACATAATCAGCAATTAAACCGGTCGTACTCTTTCTAGTAGGTAGCTTTTAGAAAAAGTTAATTTCTTTCGAATAAGATATTAGTTTCAAACTAAACTTTTACACGTAAGTTCCAACCAAAACTTGAGTATGCAATAACCTATTATGTAAAAGAAAATAGATTTTGATAACCCTCGTTTTTCACTTTCCTCGAATTATAACATGGACCACATGATTTCACCCCATATCCATGATGAAAATGTGAATAGAGTAAATTTTGAAATTCAACATCAATGTATACACTCTTACACACAAAGAGTAATAAATTTTCAAAACTCAACATCAAACTATACACTCTTACACACAAAGAATTTAACCCTCCAATATTTGTAGCCGAAATCAAACTCTACCATGTTGCTAAAAACAAATTTTAAGTGGGCTTCTATATATTTTATTATTTTAATGCATTAATTAATTAATTAATTAATTAATCTTAGCTTCCGCCATTCAACAACTCCCTCAGTAGATTCCACTTGCTGATAATATTTTATTTTATTTCCCATTTTTCCCACCATTTTTTTTAATGTTTTTTCTATTATTTTTCCATCGTTTTTCTGTCCACCTTTCTCCGAATCTCCGCTATAAAATCACCCTCCCTCTTCTTGTAAAACCTCTTCCATTTCTCTTCTCTTCATCCCCATAGATTTCAAGCTCTTAATCTCTGTCGTTATTCTGCTGCTTTCTTTTCTAGCAACATCTTTTAGATCCGAAGCTCTGTTAGTTTCTGAGTTTCTCATACCAATTCTCCGATACAGATCCGTTCATTCAATCAATTTCACCCTTAATTTCTTCAATTCTTTGATGCTGCGTATTGTGTTCTTGATGTTTGAGATTAATGTCTCCTGTTTTGAGTGAAATCCTCCGTTCCGGGTTTATGATCAGTTCCTCACTCAGACGCAGGACCCATCTTGTTCAATCTTTCTCCGTCGTCTTCCTCTACTGGTTCTATGTTTTTTCATAAATAACCTATCATCTCATCATCAACGCCGTTCTGATCTTTACATATATAATATATAACTTCTAAATCCAGCTTAAATAGTGATAGATATATATTAATAACCTGGATCTGGGTCCTGCGTCTTTTGAGGTCAACGTCGTTGAATCATCAGTACCTAAGCTTTTTTGATCTAAGGTTTCTGGTGGGAAGAAAAAAAAAATGGCGTCTTCCAGCGGGAACTCGTCGGGATCTACCCAGATTCAGAACTCCGGGTCGGAGGGGAACGAGAGGAAGCGGAAGAGAATGCAGTCGAACCGCGAGTCGGCGCGGCGGTCGAGGATGAGGAAACAGAAACATCTGGACGACATGGTGTCGCAGGTTGCGCAGCTGAGGAACGACAACGCCCAGATCCTTAATAACATCAACCACACCACCCAACATTACCTTAACATGGAGAGGGAGAACTCCGTTCTCCGAGCTCAGCTCATGGAGCTCACCCACAGACTGCACTCCCTCGACGACATGCTCGCTTCCATAAACTCTGTCTACGGAATCTTTGACTCGCCGGCGCCGGCGCCGGAGATTCTTACCGCGCCGGAAACTTTCATGACCAATCCTTGGATGTATCTCAACCAACCCATCATGGCATCCGCTGATGCAATGTTCCAGTGTTGATTAAAAAGACAATCTTGCCCTTGTGGTGCAGACTAAAAAAACAATCATGGGGTGGTGGTAGTTTTTTTTCATTGGTTGAATGAAAGGAGAGGAGGGGTAAAATGGGAATTATATTAATTATGTCAACTATTATTTGGTTGTTTTCCTAGTAGTATTATATTAGTATAATAATATGATTAGTATAATCTTAATAATTAGGTAGTTGAGTCATGAGTATGATTCTCAAGGGGAAGTGGGGAGGGTGTTTTGGTCTTTCTTGAAATGTAAATGGATTATATATTATTATTATTGGCGGTAAGGATGAATGGTTGTGAATGCATGTATGTTATCTATCTACCCTAATTAAATCTATGTTTTAGTATATTACCCTTGCCACCTTTTTGTTTTGTTTTGTTTTTTTTTTTTTTTTGTTTTTTTGTTTTTAAATACTACTAATTCTATTACAATATAGTATCTGTTTATAATTACTTCTCTCAATTAAATGAAGCACAAAGAATTAATATTGAGTCAATATCGCTTTGCTCAAACCCACAACTTCCTCTATGAGCAACCTGGTGCTATATGGACCACCTTTTAATACATTCATTTATATTATTTTAAATGAATCTATATAAACAAAAATTAAATTATAAACAATTCAAAACAATATCAATTTGTAGTATCAAACACACAGATAACGTTGGACATCTCTTTTTAGATGATTTTATTATTCTCAAAGTTGAATCTCCAATCTTAAAGGTCTTCACGCCTTGACTTGACAGAACGGGAGGAGTACTCAAACAACAAAACTATTCGATCTGTAATGTCGGCCCCTACCTGACCCTTCTTGTTCGTTAGAAGTCAGGACTACTACACTTGCATATGTTTTATGAAATTGTCCTCTGGAAGTCTGTAAGAAGCAACTGTTTGCGAACATTGATTCATAAAGTTTTAGTGTTCACATTATGCTATTATTAAACTAAGTTTGGTTACAATAATTTTAAATACATGAGATGATGTCGTTCTTTTTTAGCTTAACCAAGATCTCAGGTTCAAATCCAAAAAATACAATTATTTTAAAATTGAGAATGTTTCGTCACCTTTTGAAATCTTACTCAATGTGAATATAGTTAGTTCAATGTATGTATGATTGCTAATGGGATGGGTTAAAGAAAACTATGGTTAAAAAAAAAAAAAGTTATCGGTTGAGAAAGGCACATTAAAAACAGCTTACGAAATGGGAATCGATTGCTTTCACGATAATTGTACCTAGACTAGAAAATGTTGAATTGGCCTCAACTAGCCCTGCATATGAAGATACCAACAAAAATGGTGTGTTGGAAAATGCGAATAATGGTAGAAGCAAGTGGACGATTTACATGGCTAGAAACATTATCGTACTGACAAATGACAATTCACACGTGAATGAGTTCTACACATGTATTTTCAAATCTTACTCTTTTAAATTTATTTCTTGACAAATATTGATATTTGATAGGCTATTTTCTTTTTGTGGATTCGTATAAATGTGTCTACATCAAAATTTTAAGTGTGGAGCTAAAAGTTGAGAGTAAGGAATGAGAGTACATATAATTTTTTTTTTTAAAAAAAAAACATATAATATTTTCCTTACTCGATATCTAATCTCAAATCTTTCGTTAAACGCAAAATATATCACTTGGTTACCGGAGTAGAGTTTGGAAATAATGACCTGAAATCGAGTCTCACCCGGAATAGTATGGGAGCAACCTTTCAAAGTGAAGAGAGCTCCGATTCTTGTGCTCAGTAAGCAAAGGTCTAGCCTTTGTGTTTAGCTGATCGAGTTACCATGATTTACATCTTTCCAGTTGTTTTATTAGGCCGATCGGGGTGTAGAGATTCTTGTAATTGGAGATTCAACATTTTGATAACAATGGGAACAAAGACTAATATTTCAATTAACTAATCATGTACAAACATAATAATATAAGATTACAGGACCACCCCTAACAATCACTCAAAAGTTACAAACAAAAATACATGAGTGCCACTATCAGCATATGAAGTGATGTAAATTTCCTTTAAAAAACCCAGAAAACATCCAATCTTCATGAAGTTAGGTAGTTTTATGATGGTGAAAGGCTGGAGCTGTGACTTCACCATCTTTGCTCAGATCATTTAATTTTCTTCCAATCACTAAAACCCTTTTCTTTCTCTTGAGTAGGTGTGGCGTGACCTCATATCAAACCGCACTCTTCGCTTCCACAATCATATTCCTAACATCTCAAGAGCGCATTTACTAATAAGAAATTTTTTTCATTATATTTTTCGACAACACATCAAAAATGAAAGAAAAAGACTACACATGATGTGACTAAAGCAAATCAATGCGACTGTCACAGTTTGATCCCGTGCCCTAAGCTGTCTGTGCAGTCCTAACAAGGAGTCCATTACATTGGGTGAAACTTCCACAATGCGGTGGTCAAACATTCACAATCTAACACCCGAAATCATTTGAGTTGCCTGTGTGGGGGCCCTACACTTATCATTGTTTCTATATTTAGTAGCTAATTGTGCATCTACCGAACTCACTAATAAGTTTATTAGAGGAAGTCACGCCAGATGATACATGATTATATTCTTCAAGAAAATAATGTGCATTTTTTGGTGCTACAAAGTACAAACTCTTCCAACCATGTTTGGGATATCACATTGCAGGAGAAAATTTGAGGAAATAAATGAAGGATTTTTAATTTTTTTCCAATTCCAAATCAAGAAACCAAAGTTCCATTAACATAAGAAAATGTGAGGTTGATTAAGGTTTGGTGTCATTCCTCGGCAGAATCTGCGACAGATTGTCTGGTAGCCGAAGTGGCTAACAATGGATCCGACTCTGCAAACTCGTCTCTGTACATTTCCTCAATCATAGGCTTCCATAGTCGAACTCGAGCATTTATGAACCAGTTTGAAACCTGAAACATCATCTCAAAAACTCAAAAAAAACATTCAAGATTTCAGGCAACAAATTAAAACATGTTGGAATTCACACTGCAGATTACCTGATTCTTTGTCAATCCTGTCTGTGATGCCAATATAAGCTTCTCCGAATCATTCGGATAGCTACGAGAAAACAAACAGGCATTACAACATTGAATTGAATCTCACAAAAATAGTTTAAAGTTTGAAGTTTGAAGTTCATACGGGTGAAGGAAGTGTTGGAATAGCCAAGCGCGAAGAGTTGCCACTGAAGTTTCTGGCAGGCCTCTGATTGGCCGCCATGATTGCCTCGAGCTTTGAATCATTCCCAGCTGTTGAAGAAACATCTTGTGAAGCCCAGCATCTCTGTTGATCATCATTGTTGGCAGTTCTTCTGATAATTTTTGCAGTAGGCTGTTTATCTGAGACACAATTGCTTCTCTTAAGCTGCAGAAATGCTTGGACATGGCTTGGAGTGCGAGTCCAGTGTAGGATTTCCCTGCTCCTAATCCTGCAATGGCCTCAAACGATGATACCAGCTCTTCCATTCGATCATGATACTGCTCGTATCTTCTTTCCACCTGCAAATTCTGTCACGATTACAAGAAACAAACATGGAATCAAAGATGGAAAAAAGAATTCAAGATTGTTTCGTTTACCCCTTCAAGCAAGGCAATGAGCGCCATGATTCTAGTATGGAGCTCGTGTTTCTCGTTACTTGGGAGCTCTGCATTCACCATGGAACGGAAACCCAAAGATCCTTTCTTGCCGGACGGCGATAATCTCCGGATGTATTTCTCGGAGTCTGTCGCCTTGCCGCCGACACTAACCACTTCTTCAAGAAGGGACTGTGTAGGTCTTAGGTATTTGGAGTTAGCAATGATGGCGGCGAAAGATTCAGGTCCAGAAAACGTGGAAATTGAGGTTGAAGAAGAAGAAGAAGCTGTCCCTGTCCCTGTCCCAGCAACAGAATAATCACTACTGAAACAACCCATTCCTGGATTAACAAAACCTGGATTCACCATCCCTAAAGAAAGTGAGAGTTTCTGATGGGATCCAAGAAGATCCATCACATTTCTGGTGTGGGTGGCTTGAGGAGAATGAACTAATAAGTCTACGGCTCTGGACATTCTCTCCCCAAGAGAATGAATGGTGGTGCCTAAATCAGCACAGTTTTGGTTCCAAACTTGAGGTTGACTAGTCATGGCATATGGGGTGATGAATTGGTGGGGAATACTTGGCGGCTCTGTATTTGAATTCTGAGACACCATTGAGAAAAAAGTTGTGATTTTGATCAAGAAAAGCCTTTTGGGTCCTCAAGAAACTGAGAATGGAGGAAATTAATGGATGCTGGGGTTTTCAAGAAAGCTAGCCTGGCCTGCATGGATTAACTCCATTAAAGAACGACAGAGATCGCCGACCTAACTGGACAGAATATGCATACAAACATACCTTGAATGATAACTAGTTCATGCAAGGGAGGAAAGCAAAGATTCCTATGTCAAAAAAAAAAAAAAAATCTTTGCCACTATTTCCCAAGCATATAAGCACACCCTATATGAGCAGCTGAAAGCTATGGAGCCTAAGAAACACAGGCCTATGGGGGAGGGCAAGCTCTCCAAAGAAGAGAAAGGACATCAAGAAAGCAGAAAGTGTTGAAAATGACATGAAATTTATGGTCCCCCACTTCCCCTCAGCTTTAATGCTCTACTATTACACATCTTTGGGACACTCAAAAAGCACTTTCAGGCTTCACCTCTATCTTCCTGTGCACTCACAGTAGAAAGAAGCACAGAAGTTAAACATAAATGTGGTATTGCTGTGTTGCAGAAGGCCTCTGCCATCTGGATAAAAAATAAAAGTGAAAAAAAAAAAAAAAAGGCTGTCTTTTGCACACTCCCAGTTTTAATTTAAGATTGTCTGCTTGTGAATCTGTAAACATGTGGGAATATCTAGCCTTTTTTGTAAGCTGTTGTCATCCTTATAAGATTTTGAATGGCCCCTGCAATATTCATAATCCTTCAAGAGAAACTTTGTCTGTAACCTACAAATTTGTGGGAGGTTTCACTACACAGTAACACAGCCCTTCATATCTGTTTAATGCATGTAATGTTGTATCATTTCCATTTTGGATGGAGCCTTTTCCTTTTCTTTTTTGGTGCTTCATTGTTGTTAGTGTGGTGATAAGATTGATGTATTCTGGGAGAGAAATGGTTGGTTCAAGATTTGGAAAATGGTGTAATGATTACTACCCCCTTTGTTCTATTAGACCCTCCAGTTGTCATTCCCAGCTTCTGTTGGATAATATACTGCAACCTAAAAACCCCACTCTTTTTCTTCGGAAACGATGGAAACCCGCAACCACTACCTAATAGTGTGTACTGGGTAAACCCCGTCTTGGGACCCAACCATCCTAAGTTGTCATAACTAGCCAGCTCAAACCAGGAACGCCAATAGGCCGTTTGGTTGGGGTTGTCCTCAAAAGCCCCACTCTTTGATTGAATTGGGCAGAGGGAGAAGGTGAAAAAACTTTCACTTTTTCACCTTAGGTGTGATTCTGGTAAAAGAAAGTAGAATTCAAGCTTCAAAATATATCAGATAGATCAGTTCACCAGTTGTAACATGCAAGAAGATACTGACAAACTCATAAATTGCAGGCTATGCAACCATGATGTGTAAAAAAGGTGCAGACTTTTGTACAAGATTCAATTTTTTGTAATTGCCAAACACAGTATACTGTATACTACAGTGTTCCACTTAAAAACTAAGCTAAGCATGACCCCTATAGTATTCACTATTATACAAATGATAAACCAGAAGTGTATATATATATATATATATATATATATAAATTATAAAGTTATAAACTTTTCTTGTATTGCAGAGTCTACAAGAGAGTAATCTCCTATCTCACATTATGTACTAGTAGCAGCAGAAGAAGAATAGCGCTTCCAACGCCCGGTTCATGAGCGAGAAGCATCAAGTAAATGATCGGGAACGTTGTTCGTTCTTACATCACTATATTGCTGTATGCAACTGTAATCACCTGTTAAACTCTCTTGAAGCTCTTTATCTGCTGTTTCCTCGGATGCTGCAGCCCGAATCTGTTCTGGTGAGGCGGTGGAGCCCGCTTCTGCATCGCGAACTTCCTCCTTGTACATTTCCTCAATCATGGGCTTCCAAAGACGGACTCGTGCATTTATAAACCAGTTTGCAACCTGATCCAGACAGAGTTCCGTTACTATGTTGCAAGATTATGATAACATAGTATATTCGAGTAAAAGGTTAATTGAAGCATGTGCTCCATCTCAACTAAAAGCCTAAGCTGATAGTTGGATTGCACATTAATGGTTATATGCTCAACATTTTGCATACCTGACTTCTTGTTAAGCCTGTTTGTCTCGCTAGTGTGACTTTCTCCGAGTCTTTTGGGTAACTGAAGAATACACGAAACTAATCAGAAGCAATGGAACTGGAGGTGTTACGAGATTTATCAGATAAAGTTAGTTATAAGGAACATACGGGTGGAGGAAATGTTCAAAGAGCCAAGCGCGAAGGATTGAAACAGCATTCTCGGGCAAACCTCTGAGTGGCCTCCAAGGTTGTCTCATCACGCCAAATTGCTGAAGCAACCTTTGTTGCCTCATCTGATGATCCACATGGCGGAGACGATACAATCTCTCCCCTTGACTATTGCCTTGTTCCCCTAAACTTTGTCGAGTAATTTGAATCTGCTTCTTGATTGCATCACACAGGCAGCGAAATTGGCAGGAAATGGTTTTGAGGGCGAGCGATGTGTATGGCCTAGCAGCACCGAGCCCAGCAACCATCTCAAACGACGAGACTAAAACTTGCATGTGTTCATAGTACTGTTTGTATGACATATCCACCTACATAGAAACATAGTACTAAAGCAACCTAAATTTATGTGATAATTGACATAGACAAACACATATGAATGTTTGATTGACCCACCTTGTCCAACAAAGAAAAGAGTTTTGTCATCTTGCTCTCGAGATCATATTGTTCTGTGGCTGAGAGTTCAGCAGAGATCATATCGGAGGCCATCCCAGGAACCGAACAGCTGGACTTCACCTCAGTCTCTTCGGACCCATTTTTTAGAAATGAAAAATGATTCTGTTTGTCCGCTTGCTTTTTAGCTGATTGAACATTCACGACTTCATCGAGTAAATCCTGTGCTGCCTTCAGATACTTGGAATTATAAATGGATGCTGAAGCCCCCGCGGTTGCTTCATGTAAATGTGCACTAAAATTCACCTCTCGGAGGCCTATGGAGCTCTCGAGGTTGTCCATGGCTCCAACTTTGACACCGTTCTGATGATGATCTCCAGCCAGATCAAACGACAAATATTCAACGTTTTTATCTTCGTTATACTGATGAGATCCCTGAGCGTGGGAAGTCAACAATGAAGAAAAACCCGAGTTCCTATACTGATCATGGTACGATGGCACTTGAACTGAAGATGGAACTTCCATGGCCAAGCTGAGAGATAATCCTTGATATTGAACATTTTGCATATCAAAAGGTTTCGATGAAAACGCGTTGGCCTCCATAGAACCAGACCCGCCATTGAGAAGACTACCAACTGGCTGCTGCATATTCAGCAGATCAGAAGTAGGTGAAAGAAGAAGCATCTCATCCCCACTTCGAATCGACTGAACCTCAGCATTGTTATTTGGCGATAACTCTGGGTAGGGATGGTTCAGAAACATCACGCCCCCGGGAACACCAGACTGGAAAGAAGTGTGCTTTTGGTCTGGCAATAGTGGGAGTGCATCTCTTTGGTTGGTCAAACCTGAATAATAAGTTGCCATATCTCTTCTCACCCCCTCTCAAATGTAGCACAAACAACCTTAATTTCCCCCCCTCTAAGAGATTCTGTTTAGAACCCTGTGAGGAGAATCATGGGAATCAGCTAACAAGTCACTCATCATCAAAAGAAACCTAAAGATTTGCTAAGGGGCTTCATCATCAATTCAACATCAAGAACATGCAATCATCAAAACAGGACCCAAAATTGAAGATATTATCTTTATTACACACAGTTGTTGACAATAATTCTCCAAAAGTGGTTGGAAACATCAAGAATTCATTACCATCATCAGGAACATGATAAAAACCTCAGTAGAAATCAAAAAACAGTACAACCATGGACCAAAAGGTGGGAGCAGGAAAGAAAGATGCAAAAGGGCAAAGGAAAAATACCAGGAAAGAAATGTCTGTCTTTGTGGTGTGCCTTCAATTGGGGGAACAGAGAGAGCCACCAAGAGAGTGATTGAAAGCAAAAAACTCAAAGCAGAAGCTTATCCATGTGGAGACAAACCTGATCCGCAAACATCCTAAGAGAACATCATCAACAACAACAACCCCTCCTTATCATTGAACAATGACACCACCAGCCAACAGATATCCTGCAGAAAAAGATTACAATAATTATGAAAGCAAGCAAGAAATAATCAACTGTCAACCTTCCATTCTTAATTAAAACAAGTATTATATTCCCTTTCAATTATTTCAAACTTTCTTCGAGTGGGGTCCATGGTGCAAGACCCCAAAACACACCCTAAAACTCTACAAGTTTGTTCTTTTTTTTTAATAATTTTTTTAAAAAAAAATCAATGAAAAAACAAAAACCCAAGAACACAAAATTGGCAAAGGGGTTGGTGGTTTGTTTGTTCTCCCTTTTGGCATTGTTAGCGTGCGTAGGGGTTTGATGTTTGAGGGTCTGAATCGTCAACCACCAGTTGGTAGACCTAAAACTAAGCAGCTTTTAAGCCTTTGATAAGAAGACTAAAAGAGATTTTCATTTTATATACCTAAGGTTGTTGCAAGGCTTCATATTCAATTTGAGGCAAATTATAATATACAAATATATGATTTGGTGTTGTTTCTGATTTGTTTTTTTGCAATATACAAGACAAAGAATTAATCTTGAAAACTGTGCTTGCTGATATGCCAATTTACCATTGAAGAGGTCAAAAGGAGCCCATGGTGGGTTAAAAACTTCAAACTTTTTAGTGGCACATCCCCCAGTGTTTCTATGCTTTTGACCTTGGTATTCCAATATTCTATTTTGTATACCAAAATAAGGCTAATAGGCCGCTCTTATCAGGAGTTATAAATATTTATAATATTATGATTGTAATAATTTTTAATTATTAAATCAACAGTCTGATCAATTTATCTGAATTGTCTTCACTAACAGATAACAGTCAGCAGTCTTGATTCTTGGAGGTAAGGTTGCGGTTGATACGAGGAGAACAATGTTCTTTCCTATGTTATGTAGATTTGTATTCTTCCCAGCATCTCTTCATTTGTATTGTATTTTTTGGTTTTGATTTTTTTTTTTTTTTTTTATGTACAGTACAGACCAAAAGTCAGATGTAGAAAGATATAAACTGAAGGAAACATGAAAGTCTTCAAAGATTCAAACGAGGATGGATGAGAGTAACTACAAAACTAAACATCAGAGGGAGGAAAGAATTTCTTTTTCGTCTCAAGCAATTTAGGGAACAAATCTGCATCCATGGAAGTTTGTCACCATGCACACTCATGGAGTTTTGAATGCTGTATGGAACCAAAAATGAATGTTTTGTTTGGAATGCGCAGAGTGGGGGTCTGGTCTGGGCTATGGAAACCATCTTTCTTCTCTTCAACAGCTACAGAAGGTAATCTAATCTCGGCTTCCATAATCAATGGCAGCCGAGGATATTTCTTTCTTTCCCCATTACCCTCTTTTTAACTCCAGTGTCATGATGGTAGGACGGGATGAGACATTTGCAGCATCTCATGAACAGCAATCATCATCCGACTCAACTGGCCGCCCAAATTTCCTAAGTGCGAGAGAATATATTGCTTTTCGTCTCAGAGACTTGCCCGTTGCCACCAACTTGACTGCCTGCATCAGATGAACTAAGTTCAAGCTTTCGTATCATAGAAAGATTAAATCTTTACATGGTTTGAGCCCGAATAACATTTACAATATTTGACAGATAGCGAAATCATATAAATTCTGACATCAGGAAAAACAAAGTACCATTGAAAGTGTATGCCCTTTCGAGATCAGCTCTCTCAATTCATTCTCCAGTTGCGACTCAGATGGAATCTCATCTATACTCCGTGACTTTCCTTCAAGCAAGATGGTGATTTCCCCCTTAGGTTGGCGATCCGAGAATGCTTCTATGGCCTGGCCGATAGTGCCATGCCAGAACTAATAAATTCAACAAAGAAGCATCTTAAACTTGGAACCATATCACAAAAACAGCACATTATATACAGGTAGGAAGGGAATTCACCTCCTCGTGTAATTTAGTCATTTCCCGCGCCATGACACACTGCCTGCAAGAACGCAAAAATATTGGAAGTAATAGAAATGTTTTACTCGGAAATTAAGTCTTAAAAGAGTTTGTAAAAATGTTCGAACTGAGCTATAGGGGCGGCTAGCACCATAAATCTACCTAGAGTCACCAAATATCGAAGAAGTCTCTTCAAGAAACTGGCAAAGCTTGTGAGGTGGAACGAAGAAAATCTGAGTTGCTGCCTCATTTGCAGAAACCGTCAGCCTCTCTCTCCTAGAACCAGCATGCTTTGGGAGAAACCCAACTGAATAAACGTAAAAAGATCAGATGCCAGAATTTCACGAGAGTTTACCAGGATCCAATAAACACGCTTGCTGGTAATTACCAAATGTGAACTCATTAGTAGGTAAGCCAGAGGCAGATAGCGCTGTTATGAGAGCTGAAGGACCAGGGATGGGAATGACGGGTATGTTCTTCTCCACACATAATTTTGCCTGCATACAAAAATTCACTCTTCAACTAATCAAATTATTTCGTCTAATTAATTTTCCCAATAAAGAAAAGCACAACTCACCAATTCAGCACCGGGATCACTGATGCCCGGAGTCCCAGCATCACTGATCAAGGCCACAATTTGGCCCTCTTGCAGTCTTTTTAACACTGCCTGTTCCCTCTGAGACTCATTGAATTTGTGATAGCTGAGCTGAAAATCTAAACTTTAGCATCAGAAAATCTTTTATATTCACAAACAACCACTAATCCAAGCAAAAGCAGAGCCCATAACTCCATAACTCACTTACAAGAGGAGTTTTAATATTGTAATGCTGTAGCAGCTTTCCCGAATGCCTAGTGTCTTCTGAAAGTATCACATTTGCAGAATTTAAGACTCTCAAAGCTCTGTGAAGATAATGCAGAAACAAGAATAATGATTATTGAGCACTTTACTGATAACAATTGTAAAGAACAAATCTTTACAATCACAATAAAAGGATTAAAGAAAGACTTAGTCCCCAATTGATGTTACCTCAGAGTAATATCTTCAAGATTCCCAATAGGTGTTCCCACCAGATATAAACCTGGCTTTAGGGGCTTCTGGGAAATTCAATTTTGACCATATCAGTTAACACCCATTGATTAAAGATTGCAACTTTGGCAAATTCACTGCATATTCCGTACTAATTCATATCGATAGTTCCACCAAAAATTAAAAAATTAAAAAAATCCAGGCATCAAGCTTGCTTACTTGCTTTGATTCTGAGGGTTCGTAGGACGCAGTGGAGGAGGGGTCAGTGCAGTAAAGGGCGCAAGTGACGGACCTAGAGGCGGTGCAAATAACTGAAGGTCGGTTAACCGCTGCGAGAAATTTGATGAATACGGGAAGTGGGTATCGAGAGCATAGCCTGGGAACCGCCGTGAACACCGGCGCGGCGGCGGAAGAGAACAGTGTTGTCATACTCATGGACCGGAAGTGGCGTATCAGCATCCTTCCCTCCGCTTTCCCTATAGCCTATAGGTGGAGAAACACCCAACGGAAAAGACTGGGTTTTTACCGATTCTCCCTACAAATGAAAATTACTCCCATCTTCCAAAAAAAGTTGAATCTTCTACCCAAAGGATCCCCCACCCTAATCGGACTAAAATTTGAAAGAACTAAATTAAGGTTACTTAATGATTTAGTAGACATGTTAAATCTTAATGTACATCAGAAATATGTACACTCACTATTATCGTAAAAATTCAAACTTTAATTTCTTCTTCTAAATTATTATCATTTTTTAAGTCAGTTTGTTATAAGTTATTTAAATCGATCAGCTATTCTTAATTTAAACTGATTAGCTATAAATTTTTCAAGAGTTAATACCCAAAATCGTCATCGACTATAGTGATTTTTCTCAATTACGTCCTAAACGACTTTGGTGACCCAATATCGTCCCAGACTTTTGTGTTTCGCTCAATTTAGTCATCCATTTGTTATTCCGTCAAATTGGTGTTAAATAAATGGACAATTCAGTAATGTCAATATTGATCTCTCTTTACTTTCAACTTGTGAAGTGCAAAATTCCTCTTTCTTATACGAATTACACCCAAAATTACTTCCGAATCTGCAAATCTAATTTTATATTCGCAGTTTTAGGAGTAATTCCGGGAGTAATTCGTAAAAAAAAAAAGGATTTCGCAGTTCACATGTCTATGAGTAAAGAGATACCAATATTAAAATTATTGAATTGTCTATTTATTTAACACCAAATGGATAGAATAACAAATGAGGGACTAAATTGAGCAAAAACACAAAAATCTGAGATTAAATTGAGCGAAACACAAAAGTCTGGGACTGGGACGATATTAGGTCACCAAAGTCGTTTAGGACGAAATTGAGAAAAATCACTATAGTCGAGGACGATTTTGGGTATTAACTCAATTTTTTAAACCACCCCATTAGTCATAGACAATTAGTTTATTTATTTAATTCTTTAAATTGGTCAGTAATGAATAATTTAGATCACAAAACAGACTTTATCCAGATTATACGAAACTAAAATAAGGTTTGTGGATTCTTGAAGAGTTGTGTATGAAAGGCAGAGATGAAGGCAAAATTATTGGTGGGAAAGGTAGAGAAGAAGGTCTGCATATGTGCTTGCATTCTTTACCAGCATTTATCTCCTCTGGATAACAGTAGTTAATGTAGAACAGAGAGTTAATGAATACATCTTTTTCATGAGAGGAGAAAACCTTTAGGCAGAGAGAGCAGAAACTTAAATCGCAAATGAAGATGTTGAGTACATTAACACCAGTCTGGTTAACACTATACAGAAGTACACCCAATATAAATCGCCTTACGGCGACTTTTCTTAAGAAGTTTTGTTCAAAGTCCCAACACCTGTTGGCTGGGGGAGGGATAAAAGGCGTATCAATCTCAACCACCAACACAGCCAGCCCGCCACCACGGGGAGGTGTTGCTGGTTGTGCACCAATCTCGACTAGCGTTTCCTAGACTTTGTCGTCGTGGAACCACCATCGAGTCTCCTTGGGCGACCTCCCATTCTTGCAGTTCTTCACATAACGATCGTTGTCTGCTGGGCGTTGCTGCAGACACAATAAGAAAAACACAACATGAAGTGCCAAACGCATTTCTCCAACATAATCAGATTATGGTTTTTACCATACCTTTACAGTTGAGCTCGATAACATGGAGAGAATGCTGATGCAAATGGAACTAACAGTCATAGCAGGGGACCAAGAGTCATACAGAATATCTGCGATGATAATTCAATGTCAAAGCTCAATCAGTATAGACACATTCCTTCAATGTAACGATAAGCATATACTAAACTAAATACTAATGTTTTACAATAGACATATTCTTGGGGTAAAGACTCATAGAAGCAAGCTTTTCAGGATTGCCGGCTAGGGTCACAAGCATATATATGATATATCTCTTCTGATAAGTGATAAATACTCCGTATTATAGATGGGCCCACATACAAAAGCTTCAAGCTTTATCATCAAGCCATGCTAATATAAATATCTTAACTCAAATGACAACAGTAGAGTAAAAGAGGTTCTGTGAAATTCTAAGTTCGTTCCTTCATATGCATAGGTCATACATAATAAAAGAATAGTATTGATTTATCGGGAACGTGTAGAAAGTCTCCGTTCTTATGTCATATAGGAAAATTCATAAGCATATCTCTTTCCATTTCCACTGGATAGGTCATGATAAGAGAATAGTATCTCTCTCACTTCCCCTTACACCGGGCATCTGAAAAGCCCAACCATCCCATCCTAACGAACTCTCATACACATTCCAATCAATCCAAAGCCTAACAGTCAACATGTTGAAAATGAACAAAGAGCGATAGCCCCATATAGCATAGAAGGCGAAGGGCTAAATGCCAACAAACATGCCTTTGCTGCAGAAATATCCAATTTTCCAGACTTCCATTATGAGAGACAAAAGAATTGCTAGTAACTACAGGATGGGTATTTACCTCCCCAGGCATCAAGTTCACATAAGCAAAGCAACTTAACCGTTCAATGACTCAAAACCAGTTATACCTTAAAGCAACTGATAATGTTAGGGCATTGCACTTCTAGACAGTAAGGCAAACAAAAGGAAAGTATTAATAAAAACTATATTTGTGCGGGGAAGGGAATATGCAACACAAATCGCAAGCTTCCAAGAATTCTAAAACGTCAATTGGAAGCAAACACGGAGCACAGGGTAGTGAAACAAACCTAAACAGATATGTCCATTGCTATAAATGTGAGGATGGAGCGGAGCTGGAGGGATAAAAATAACCTGCCCAGTTTTACACAAAATAAAATAAGGTGAAGATAGTAATCAAACGGAAATCACCATTAGCTAGCAAGAAAACCAGATTGTTTGTTTTAGTACTCCATGGTTAAACTATCTTTGCGTGTTTAAATTCTCCAGGAATCCATCCTGGACAGTTTAAAATCTTAGATAATCCACACTCAACACTCTAGTCTCTACTCTATCCAACAAATGAAAATTTTACATAGTTTTTCCAACCTCTCCTAAATACAGATGATACTGAGCAATCAAACATTAACAAACCAAAGTCAACTACAAATCTTAGAGAAACATATATCAGAGGCCAAACATAGGAAAATGAATTCTCACCTGAGGGGCTTCCATAGGGTAATGTTCAGGGAAATCAACCTGTAGCTGATATGTCTCGTTGGCATACAAAGTCCCCGGAGCTCCGGTGACTTCAATTACCCATCTGTAATAACAGGAAGAAGAAAAAAAAAATCAGCAAAAATAAAAAGAAAAGCCCAATAAAGATTGAATATTTTCCATCTTAATTCCAAACCCAATAATTAAAAATAAAAAAAATTGAAAGAGTAAAAACTAAAAAGTGAAAAGCCTTCACCTTTGGAGATTATCAGTGACTCTGTGCTTAAATCCGGCGGGGGGATTCACCTGCCATTCCATCAGCTCCTTCTGCAGCCGATTGGCAGCGATCTTGCTCAGAGCCTAAATCACATTCCAGCATCAATTCTCAGCCCAAACAAACACACAATTAAAAAAACATAAATCCCAAAATTCTACCCAGACAGAGATGTATGTATATGTAACCACACGCAAACCTTGCGAGACGAAGCTGAAGGGCTAGTCATGGTGCCTTGAATTTGGAGAGAGAGAAAGAGAGAGAGAGATAAAAGAAAGGGTGTGTGCGTAAAGACGACGTCGGTGTTTCTGTGCCTGGTTATTTTATTGGCACTCTTTGGATTGTGGAAAATCTAAAACCTGCAAATTGCAAATACGAAAAAAAGTATTCTGGCACTTGAGAGAGATCACGATTTGGGTTCAAGTCAAACCCGGATACTGATCGACGGTCAGGAATGGCTTAGATGCGCTGATGTGGGGCTCGATGGTTGCCCTCAGCCACGTGGCGAATGTTCTGGGTTGTTCACGTGAATTAAAAATTGAGAAGATCCGCCATTCATGCATTATACTAGTCCTCACAAATATCATTATTTGCACTTTAATTTTTTTTTTATTATCTAAAAATTATTTTTACTATATATAAAAAATATCAACTCTTAGTTCGTACAGTCTAGACGTACCAAAATCATTCAACGGGAAACAAGTAACTCTTAATTCATATTAAGTGAATTAATTTCTTAGTAGTTATGCCATTTGCAGAATTAATAATATCGTTGTCTCTTTATATTTATGATTATATTTTTTTTTAATTATATGTAGAAATGTTTGTGCATATAACACTATAATTTTCTTGACCCACTTCCCATATCTATTGATCATTTCAAACAGAATTTTGCTTTACTAAGTGGTGAAGAAAGATGGTACTCCGTATTAAATAAAAGGGGAAGAAAACATATCTAAAAGCAAAATTGGTCCTATATTCCCACTTTTTTTTCTTTTCTTTTTCCTTACAAAAAATAAAAACCTTTTTTGTTGCTCTTGACAAAAAAGATTGGAATATAGCATAAAAGTATACATGGAAGAAGCAAAAACCTATATTTGGTGCATCTAAGATTGAAAAGTAGATATGCTATCTATAAGATAATAGCTAGCTAGCTTTGCTTCCCAATAAAAATTATATATGTAAGGGAATCAACCAAACAATTAAAAAAAAAAAAAAAAAAGCTACATGAATTTAGACCAAATAGCATTCACAATACTAAAAGCTAAATAAACAATTGTTTTTTGTGTATGACATATAATATTTTCACTATTGCGAGTGTAAGACTAATTTAAATTCGGTTCATATCATGTCTTTCTAAATATAAGACTTAACCAAAAGAAATAAATCGGGGTCATTGATCCAAATTTAACATAAGATAATGTTTCTTGAGAGAAAGCTTGATCCAAAGAGACTAATTCATAGTCGAATGATCTAAATTTAACATAAAATCATGTTCCTCAAGAGAAAGCTTGATCCAAAGAGACTAATTCATATTCAACATGAAATCATGTCTCTCAAAAGAAAACTTGACAGAAAATATGCAAGGCAACTATATAAGAATCCACAATCATTATTGTGTGGATCATATTTTGTATACTATAAAATAATGTACATTCAGTATAAAAATAATGTACTTTTAATATATAAAAAATGTACGTTGTATTCAGGGGTTGTACATTATTTGTGTACTGAGTGTATATTATATTGTATAATATACATTTAATACACAAATAATGTACATTTAATACACAAATAATGTACATTTAGTATATTAAAATGTACTTTTTGTTATGGTCCATGCAGTACTGTTTGCCAAGAATTGATATTCCGGCCCTATAGTTGGGATAGTTATGCTGTGGAAACGTGTTCACCATACGCATGGTGAACACATGAGTAGATCATAATTTCTATACTATAGATTCATAATTTTTTTTTGAAAACGTAGATTCATAATTTTGTTTTTCATTTGTTGTTAACGGGATAGATCCATAATTTCTAAACTGTAGATTCATAATTTCTATACTGTAGATTTATAACATCTATACTGTAGATTCATAATTTCTATACCGTAGATTCATAATTTCTATACTGTAGATTCATAATTTCTATACTGTAGATTCATAATTTCTATACCGTAAATTCATAATTTCTATACTGTAGATTCATAATTTCTATACCGTAGATTCATAATTTCTATACCGTAGATTCATAATTTCTATACTGTAGATTCATAATTTCTATACTGTAGATTCATAATTTCTATACCGTAAATTCATAATTTCTATACTGTAGATTCATAATTTCTATACTGTAGATTCATAATTTCTGTACTGTAGATTCATAATATTTGTAACAACAAATGAAAAACAAAATTATAAATCTACGTTTTTTAAAAAATATGAATCTACAGTATAGAAATTATGGATCTACCCTGTGTTCATCATGCGCATGGTGAACACGTTTCCACGGCATTATTTGTCTTACAGTTGTTGTTGGGTTAAGTATTGATTACTGTAATATGCTACCTTATTTTAGGCAAATTATTCTGTGAACTCGAGTTTACCTTGCAAGGTAGACCTGTGTCCAAATATCACAATTTATATATTAAATCTTCACAATTTACCTTTTAAAAATTCACAATCTGTATATATGTAATTGATTACATTGTTTTGTATTCACAAGTTCCTTTCAAATACTACAGTCATACAATATTAACACATTAGGATTTGATGACCTTGTATTATATTCTACAGTTGTTATGTATTTTTGACTTAGAAACACAATCTGTATTCTAGAGGTTTATAATTCCAATATTAAAAATACACAATTTATACGGTATAACAACTCCTTATTTTAGCAATCGTTATATCCTACACCACGGCACACATAGCACTGTGCGCCGCGTGCCTCCCAAAACGACGTCGTTTTGGGGTCGTGTTGGGAGGCGCGGTAGAAAGTTGCTGGGATTATGTGTATTTGTTCACAACATTATGTGTATTTGTTCACAACATTATGTGTATTGGTTCATACAGTTATGTGTATTTTTTATACAATTATGTACATTCTTTTTATACAATTATGTACATCCGAATTAGAAAATTTGTGTGTATTATGTTAAGAGTTGATGTGTATTATGTTAAAAGTTTATGTTTATTAAGTATTATGTTAGATTATGTGTATTATCTTTTAAAAAGAGTATGTATATTTTGTTATATAATTATGTACATTCATGTATACAATTATGTGTATTCAAGTATAACATTATGTACATTCTTGAACAGCGAGTTTTTTTTAAAGCAAAAACTACTGCCATTCACTGGGGTGGGAAATTTCAAAAAAAAAAAAAAAAAAAAAAAATTAAAACGACATCGTTTTGCATCTGGGCGCATAGTGCAACGCGCGCCGTGGTGTAGGATATAGCCTTATTTTAGCTGATTATAAAATTCAATTCTACAGTAATACACAATTAACAAAAGCCCACAACTACCAGGCAAATCATCTCAAAAGTCAAAAGCCCATTAAATTACATTGCAAAGTGAAAACCTTGTCCACTGCTAGTGGTCCTATAAAGTCCAACCCTAGAGACAGCTAGTCCACAAAAATCTTATGCTATACAGATAAAAGGACACAACATTAATCCTGTATTAAAGATAAGGACAAATCTCATACAAGATTTTTTTTGAAATTATCTAGCAAGCAAACTTCTGCATAACACATAGAACAAAATACCCAGTTCACTAATGCCATAAAGATGAAAGCAAAGCAGACATGGTTGCATTATCTCAAATCCATATCTTCCATACAAAAGCTTGCATGACTTGATACAGTGAGTCAAAGCTGCAAACTACAGAACTAGAAGCATTGAAACCGACTATGAGAACCACAGTTGTTTTTGTTATTGTTATTAGATAAAAACGAAGCAAGTCGGTTAGTCGGGTGGGGGGGAATTATTTGTTCTTTGAAAGCTCAGGCTGTCATGGTAGAAGCAGCAGCAGCATGCGTGGCTATGCAACTAAGCAGTTCTTCTTTCTTGGCCCCCACAACCCTATGGACCTCGTTTCCTTCTTTCAGGAAGACAAAAGTTGGCATGGCCTCAACCTTAAAGTCCTCAGACACAGACTGAGAAAAGGATTATGGTTTAGTTAATTGCATGAGAGAAACAAGTGCAGACATTCTTCAACTGTTACCACACTGAAATAACACATTTATTAAGGTTTACCTTCAGCTCATCCACGTCCACCTTGAGAAATATCACTTGTGGCATCTTCTTTGCGATATCTGCCAGAATTGGAGCAATAAAACGGCAAGGCCCGCACCAAGAAGCAGTAAAATCTACCACTGCCTATACATGAGAATTGCAAAGAATAATCAGCTACTATTCTAAGCCTAATGAAGATGACAACAAACCACTTTTTTTATCTCTAGCAACAAAAATTATGCAGTATCCCCCCGCTCAGATTGACTGTATAAATTACGTCCTTTTGACACAATGAAGCAGAGGCACAAAACCAGTTATATTATGAATTAACCAATGTACTACATACCATGCTCAAGATATCCCAACTTTCTTCTGAAATGTCACCATCCAAGAATAGTAACTCAACATTCCAGATTAACAAACTTAATTTGCAGATTGGAATTAGGAAAACTGTCAACTTGTCCACTCCAAATACAAATCCATGTACTCCACAAGCAAAAAACTACAATCTTTACTAAGTTTTCCAATAAAGTTTACATGTATTTGCTTGAGTGGGACTCCAAACAAGTGCCAGAAAATACACTAAAAAACTCCAACTTTGGAACACAAAATAAGACAAAGTTTAATGTCCCTGTAGGAAAGTGATTTGATTATTATTCAACATTTAGTAAATAAACCATGCCTAGCAAAAGGATATGATTTGAGACAGTACTAATTCCCGGAAATATCTTGAAAATTGAAAACCCTAATTCGAGGAAACGAAACGCATTTCTAAAAAAGTGATGAGAAGATGATACCAGTTTCTTGCTCTCTTTGGCTTTGTTGAAGTGTTCGGTCCACTGCTCGACGGTGTGGCAGCCGATAACTTGTCCCTCCTCTGCTGCCATCTCCTCTCGCGGTTTCTGCAAAGATTAACACTAAACTTGCGCTAGTCGACAGATCTCGAGTCTCCACCAGTTGAGATTTCTTCTTCTTCTTCAACACGCTTGTCAATCCTTTTCTGCGAATCGAGTTTATCGTCCAAGAGGCAGATGAAATTACAAAAATGTAACGTCTTTGGACCTAAATTACGGAATATACCATTCTCGAATCTCCAAAAGGGAGAAACCAAAGATACCACTTATCTACAACTTTTTTTATGGCTCAAAAACCTAGACCTCCCACATAAGAGAGCAATCCGATACCAGTGGACCATAAGTCACTTTCAACAACTTTATATATTGAAATTTGAAACCAATGTCTAGATTCATAAAAATTTATTTTTGTTTGTACAAAAATTTATTTCTAAATATGTGCACCAAGTAAATTTATTCACATATAATAACATACAAAGTATAGAGACAAATTGTATTTCAATTAATATTCACGGTATTACTATTTGTGGAGAACATATTGGATAAGGACAAAATTCAATACTTATTAAGTGGACCATAATTATTCGTACATTTATATGGACTATTCATATGATATAATATTTTTATACATAAGGTATATTATTTTGATATATAAAGGTATATTATTTGAATGTGTACAAAATAGTATGATATTCGATGATTATAGGACTTGGATGTCTTGTTTAGATTCATCATAGAATAATAAAAGTGTCATCCTGCACCATGAACCATTTTCGATTATTCATGCCGCACCATGATCTTTAATAAGTGATATTTAGATCCATAAATCATTATTTTTTGTTCGTCTATAACTTTTTATAGATTTTCTGGTAATCTTGATGACATGGCGCTGTAATAAGCTGACGTGGCCTTATTTATCCGTCCATGTAAGTATTTTTAATTAAATTATTTTTAAAAAACACTACTCCAATTATAAAGAAGATTACCCTTCGCCGCTGCTCACGCCGGAGAGGAGGTGGAGCTCTACGAAGAACAGGTGTCGCCGATTGTTGTTGCTATGTCGCCGGAGCCACAGCTCCGCCTAGCCACCGCCGTCTACGACTGAGGACGCCCGCCGAGACCAATCTGTCCTCTCAGACCGCCCCCGCGATGCTGCCACGGGTGGACTGTCGGCCATTGGAGCTACCACCGGCGCACCATTGACAGCTAACGACGAAGAGACGGAGCGGTATTCTGGTCGATTTAATTAAAAGCAAGAATGTTATTGGATTTAGCATGTACATCACTTTTTATGCATGTTACAATTACCTCAATGTTTGATTGTTTGAATGGAAGACCTCCTTTCCTGTCGCAATGTAGTTTTGCAGTTAAGTTGATCTGAAATTTTGTTGATAATCACTATTTACCACTTTCTATTTTCTAAACTCCAAATGTGGCTAAATATTAATCTTACTGCTCTTAATATTCCCTCTTCTTGCCATTTTCTCACTGTGGTGTGGTGCATTTGGAAGGAGAGAAACAACAGAGTATGGAATGGAGGAAGTGAAGTATGGCAAAGTCTTCAAAAACATATTTCGCCCCCTGCCCGCTCTTCAGTGCAAGATAAGTGGGTGAAGCCTGCTAGTGGCTGGTTTAAGCTCAACACAAACGCTGCCCTCGACCCAAACGCTAAAGTTACAGGCATTGGTGCTCTTATCTTGGAAAGGCACTCTCCAGGTTAAGGTAGCTGAAGCTATTGTTGCTAGAGAGGCTGTCAAATGGGTGAATACGCTAAATCCAATAACAGCATCGCGGGGCGGTCGGAGAGAACAGACTGGTCTCGGCGGGCGTCCTCAGTCGTAGACAGCGGTGGCTAGGTGGAGCTGTGGCCTGGTGACGGCGATAGAGCAACAACAATCGGCGACACCTGTTCTTCGTAGGCGAGCAGGGCAGATCCGGCGGCAGCTCCACCTTCTCCACTCCGGCGTGAGCAGCGGCGACGAGCAATCTTCTTTATAATTGGAGTAGTTTTTTTTTTTTTTTTAAATTTAATTAAAAATGCTTACATTTGACCGAGAAATAAGGCCACGTCAGCTTATTACCGTACCATGTCATCAAGATTACCGGTTACCTGTAGTAAATCTATAAAACGTTCTAGGCGGAAAAATAATAATGGTTTATGGATCTAAATATCACTTATTAAAGAAAGATCGTGGTGCGGCATGAATAATCGGAAATGATTCAGGGTGCGGGATGACACTTTAGCCTAAGATAAAATGTAGCTACTGTGCTGGGCTGGCTGCATTTTTGATTAATATCCACGGTGTCACTATCCGTGTGGAACACATTCGATAAGGACATAATCAGTATGTGGCTCTTTGGCAATGAAACATGAGATATTTGTACAAGGAGCCCAATCATTATTCCATGACCACGGTTCACATAATTGTGTGTAAAGTTAATCATAATTCAATTATAATTTTTAAATTTGGTGATTTTGGTTTAAACTGCTAATTTGAATTATTTTTTTTGAGGATAAATATTGTTTACTATTTTAAAGATAGTTCAAATTTAACAATTTTTTTTTTCATTTTAAAATGGTTATATGAAATATTTAAACTTCAAAGTTGAACTAAACAAATAAAATAATTGTTATAGTTAAATTTAATAATTGTTAGTGGGTCGAGTTATGATTTCAAGTGAATTCATGATAGGCCCAGTAGTATTAACATTTTGAAAGATTATTTTAGTATCAGCCCATTCATAATGACATTTTGGGTCACGGCCCAATTTGCTCCTTGGGCAAATTTTTATGAAACTATAATCCACATAGTTATGCGAATCAGTAATAAAATATATATTTTTAATATATTAAATATACATTATTTATGTACTTAATATATATTATTTAATAATATGTAAAATAAAGTATCTTCGGTATTTAAAGAAGGTTGTCACTTGGATATTTCAATACAACCTTAGAGTTGTACCAAATTAGTTCGAACTATGATCACCTCTACTTTCAATAACAACAATTTTTTTTAAAAAACTTTTCTTACAAATAAATAAATAACAGCGAAAAAGAAAAAGCAAAATTGGGAGGGAAGGAGGATAGGTGTATGTGAGGAGTGAGGGAGTAGATATTTGTGTTGGGGCGATGTGGGGGGCCCAAGACATTATCCGCCAGTCACAGAGACATCGCACGTGCCACGTAAGCTCCAGATAAACACATGTCCACGTGTAAACATCCGCACCACACTCCACCAAAATGCTGCTTCTAATCCCTCTGCTAAATCCTAATCACAAAATTTCTTTCTTTTTTCTTGATTCGAGTTTCTGATTCTCGAATCCCTTCTTCTCAGATTTCTTCTCCCATGGCTTTACCGCAGTTATTACATCCCACTTCGTCTTCTTCGTTAATCTCCCACAAACCCCACTTAAACCCTGCTTTAACCCCTACGCTCGACTTTAACAAGTCGTTATCCGCTTCCTACGCCCTCCATTGCCGCCGCCAGCGGCGGCGCAGCCTCACTTCGCTCCGCTGCTCGGCGTCGTCGTTCTCCGAGAAGCACCACACTGGCTCTCCCAAATCCGATGACGTAGTTGAGCTCCCGCTTTTCCCTTTGCCGTTAGTACTCTTCCCCGGCGCAATCCTCCCGCTTCAGATCTTCGAGTTCCGGTACCGAATCATGATGCACACTCTGCTGCAGACCGATCTCCGATTCGGAGTCATATACTCCGACAGCGCCACCGGCGCCGCCGAGGTCGGCTGCGTCGGGGAGGTGGTGAAGCACGAGCGCCTCGTCGACGACCGCTTCTTCCTAATCTGTAAAGGCCAGGAGCGGTTCCGGGTCACGAAGCTGGTCCGGACCAAACCCTACTTGGTGGCGGAGGTCACGTGGCTGGAGGACCGACCACGTGACGGGGATGAGGATCTGGATTCGCTGGCATCCGAAGTGGAGACGTATATGAAAGACGTGATCCGATTATCCAACAGACTTAACGGCAAGCCGGAAAAGGAGGCGCAAGATCTGCGGCGGAACCTTTTCCCGACGCCGTTCTCGTTCTTCGTCGGAAGCACGTTCGAAGGCGCGCCCAGAGAACAGCAGGCGTTGCTGGAGCTGGAAGACACGGCCATGCGGCTAAAAAGGGAGAAGGAGACATTGCGGAACACTTTGAATTACTTGTCAGCCGCCTCTGCTGTCAAAGATGTGTTCCCATCTTCATGAAATACGGGTGAGTTTTGGTGCCCCACAGGTATTATAAGTGTTTCTGTAATCTATACTATGAACTTGTAAATTTTGATGATGGCTAATAGATATGGTTTAATTTCATTTCAAGTCTTTAATTTAATGATCAAAAAGCAAGAAAAAGTTCACAACTTTTTTGATTCTTGAAACTTGCTTTCTGGTTTTCCAACATTCTTAGTAAACTTTAAGATTGCAGTAAAATACAATGCTATTGCAGATTGAATCAGGTATGCAGACAGAAACAGCATCTAATATCATCTGCTACTTTCTGAATCTTTGCATAAACTCAAACTTCATGTCATTCAATACATATAGTGAAATAGTGAAAAAGCATACATATTATAAGGCATGATGGCATTGCCATAGAGCTTAGGTTGCAATGGAGATGCTGCAGATCAGATCAAATGGGGTTATGAAGCAGTGGGTTCTGATCAATAAAAATGAGACTTTTTTCTGGAATAAGCTATATCTTTTCTATAATCTGAAATAGAGTTTTGTCATGGGAATGTATAGCTGTAGTGTCGATTTTGTACACAAAACAAACTGGTGCTGTTTCTTGGATTTTGGGGTAGGATATGGTGGAAGCAGGAAGCATGTTCTTGATTCTGCAAATTCCTTCTGGAATACCACTGTTTCTTAACATGTACATATCCCCATTATTCATCCCACAACTTGTTCCCCAAGAAGCAGATTCATCCCTGAAACATGATGAAGTTTCCATAGCACTTCTATGTAACAGTCTTTAAGTGACCTGGTTTCTGGAACCAAACCTTGGACTCAACTGAAATGCTCTGTTGCTGCCAAACATCCATTGTTATAGGATTGATTAATTCTTGTTCCAGTTACAATCTGATTAATACCTTCCATTGCAACAGTAGCTGAGAATGACCAACATTATGTTAACAAGTTTGATTTTCTGTTGCCTCCCATTCTCTAAAATTTTGTGTTCTGCAGAATCACCAATTTCCTGTATAAAGTATAAACCTTTTCATTAAATACAGTTGGACCAATAACAGCAATAGCTACCAGAAAACATCATCAACTAAAAGCATAATCTAAGTCTGATGCACAGAGAGTAAAGTTATGATCTTTCTCTCACATGTTAAAAGAACTGCCCCAAACTGGGCTGGGCTGTGCTTTTGAGAGCTTGTTTAGTCTCCTGGGAACATATGGATGTGTTCCCCACGGCGAAATGGGAACCTATTGACGGGCCGGCGGCGTTTTGGAAGCTTCCTTTCCTTAGACTCAATCTTCATCTTATCACCTCGCTGCAATATAGTCCACGAGAACGCAACTTTTCATCCAATCATCATGCATTTTGAGTGACAAGGAAAATCAGAGCCACTATCGAAGCCGTGCACGTGGTAAATCCAGCCTTGTGATCTTAGCCGTTAAAGGACCACAACCTGCATTGCTCATAGTTGACCGAACCATGAATATCAATAGGTCACTCTCACGGAGAGTCGAACTTGTAACTCTCGGCTTACAAATCATGCATTTTCTTGTATTTTTATATTATATGATATACCAGTAGTTTCCAAGAACTAAGGACAAGAAAGCTGCCGATTGTCCTGCCGTCTCAACCCAAAATTGTCGCTATCCGTCCTGTTAGATGCCTAAGAAGCTATACTGCCAAGTCAAAGCTTGACATGTTCTTCCCGGCCCTGTAATGGAAATAAATACTCCGTATTCGCTTAGCTTCCACTCTCAAATCTGCATTAATCAAGCTTGAAGAGCAAAAGGGTTCTTTTCTGCATGAAATTTTAAGGTTTATTTTGCTTGAATCGCTTGATGGAAGAAAGCAGCTTTAAGTCTTATCAGCTCCCTCCGCCACCTAATAAGTCGCAGCAGGTAGTAGATGATCACTCCCATGCAAACCAACCAAACGAATCATCAACATTGGTTACCAATGGCTGTGTTGATTATAAAGGGAGAATTGCAGATAAACTATCGACTGGTGGATGGAAGGCCTCACCATTCATCATAGGTAATTAACCTTACTAAGTCAATAACCTGACCAATTTGGCTGTGTTATTCCTGTTTGATTTTGTTTAAGGTAATTAACATGAAAGATATAATGTTGTTTTGATATATATGAAGTGAATGAGGTGGCTGAGAGGCTTGCGTTTTTCGCCATTGCTGTGAATATGGTGTCTTACCTGGTGTTGGAGATGCACCAGAAGGTCCCTGATGCTGCCACGCATGTCACTAATTGGATCGGAGCTGCCTATGTTCTAACGTTGCTCGGAGCTTTCCTCGCCGATGCCTACTTAGGCCGATTCCGCACCATCATCATCTTCTCTTCCATCTATGTTGTGGTATGTTAGGGGTTATCTTATCTTCATCGTCTAAAAAAAAAAGTAAAAGATAAATTGGCCGGTTTAGTAAAATGGTTGTTAGCTGATTGTGTTATAATTGATAACATTAGCTGATTGTAGAAAAGTGTTTAGTAAATTAGTTGTTAGCTGATAGCTGTTTGATATAATTTTTTTTCTCAACAGCTAATTGAAAAAGTTGTTTGGAGTAACTTTTTAAAGTTGCAAAAAACTAATTAGCCAAACACTTATATTTTTTTTTGTGTAAAAGGGAGGGGGTGACCCAGCTACTGTCTATTTCCTCGTAGGCAAGTAGCTCTCATGCATTCACGAGTGATAATCTCTTCAATCTCAGGGGGGCCAAACACTTATATTAATGGTTAATTAAGTCAACTAACATGGCCAATAATAACGTGATCTTATTATGTTTTAGGGAATGGTAATGCTGACCGTTTCAGCCTCGGTAGACAGCCTAAGACCACGTTTATGCACAAGGCGGCCATGTCCGCCGGCGACCGACGGCCAGACTGCATTTCTCTACGGTGCACTTGCCCTCGTGGCACTCGGCACCGGCGGGATCAAGCCCTGCGTGTCGTCGTTCGGAGCCGACCAGTTCGATGAGGCCGACGAGAAGGAAGTACTGAAGAAGTACGCGTTCTTCAACTGGTTCTTCTTCGCCATCAACATGGGTGCCATCTTGGGAATCACTCTCATGGTTTATATACAAGAAGAGAAAGGGTGGTCGTGGGGATTCGCCGTTCCGACGGTGGTGTCGTTTTGCTCTATCCTTATCTTGGCCGCCGGATTCACCAAGTATCGTTACCAGAAACCGATGGGAAGCGCTTTCACCAGATTTCTCCAGGTTATTGTAGCATCCCTGCGCAATTTCATTGACGGAGTGACGCCGGCCGGACGTGAAACTCAGCTCTATGAAGTCAACACTACGGAATCTGAAATTCTTGGTGCTAGAAAGCTTCCTCATTCTAAACAATACAGGTCAAATATTTTTCAATTTTTTTTAATTTTTCAAAGCTAAGAACCCAGATTGATATATGAATTTTTGTGTAGATTTTTGGATTTAGCGGCGGTGATAAGAGACCCGGAGAGCGGCGGCGGGAGCCGGTGGAGGCTGTGCACGGTGACACAAGTTGAAGAATTCAAATGTTTCATAAGAGTGCTACCAATCTGGGCATCAACCATAGCTCTCTCAATTTCTTTCGCCCAGCTCTCGACCTTCTTCCTCACGCAAGCCACCGTCATGGACCGGAAACTCGGCCGCCATTTCAAGATCCCGACGGGCTCCGTCGCCGTCTTCTCCGCACTCAACGCTCTAATCCTCGTCCCCATTTACGAAAAACTCATCGTCCCTTCCCTCCGTAGAATCACCGGCCACCGCCGCGGCTTAACGTCCTTGCAGCGCATGGGCGTCGGCCTATTCGTTTCAATTCTCGCTCTCATGTCCGCCGCCCTAGTCGAAAAAAAGCGCCGGACACACCCAAACCCGTCGAGCCTGAGCGTTTTCTGGCTATTTCCTCAGTTTTTCCTGGTGGGCACCGCCGAGGTCTTCACCTACGTCGGACAACTCGAATTCTTTTACGACGAGGCGACGGACGGGACGAGAAGTCTGAGCAGTGCGCTGTTCTTGAGCGAGATCGGAATTGGGAGCTGGCTAAGCACTGCGTTGGTGAAGATTGTGCAGAGAGCTACCGGCGACGGTGAAGGAGGGTGGCTTAGAGATAACCTTAAGGACAGCAAACTTGATTACTTCTACTGGATTTTGGCCGGGATAAACGCCGTGAATTATGTCGTGTATTCAATTGTAGCGTGGAAATACAAGACGCGAGATGGCAGTAGAGGGAGAGCTGTGGCCGATGAATCCATTGTTGCTGATTGAGTTTCCGGCCGGCGGGTCTAACTATGAAGCTGAACGATGTTGCAGATGTTGGTGATTTTCGAAGATCCTAAGGGGATTATATTAATTGCAAGTAATTAAGAACTTAATTATTTGTTACGCTTTCATGTTGCGGTCCATGGTTTAGTTTGTTACAGTAGTATATCTTGTTAAACAAACTTCAATTGTATTCAACCAATTATTAATAATGCAAGACAATGGAAATTATATGGCATGCACGTATCACACATGCAAGCAGATATTAAAAATTATTAAGATTCTAAGTTTGATTCTTTGTGCTAAAGACTTTTTAATCAAACGACATCTGTAACATTTTTAAATTGAAGATCTAAATTTAAGGAGGTATATATATTTTTAAATAATGTTTACGAGCTTTTGTAAATTGAAAAGATATGAAAAAAGAAATTAAAGTGAAGAAAGTTGGACGACATATATGCCATTCCCGTCACGGCCATCAGGCAAAATATTATATAAAAAAATAAAAAAAGACGCATTCACGCATGAACAACAGGATCTGTAATGTTACATCGTATTAAAATCTACTATTCACGCATGCATTATATTAAAGTCCAAAAGTGGAAAAAGTCCATCAAGTTAAACCCCCAGAAAAAGTAGGATGATATGGGTGATTAATTGTCTATGATTTCCTTAATTTCTTCTTAAACTAATAATTAGACCGATTCAATTCCTTGAACTATAAGTAATTGTCCATGATGCTTACATGCATGCTTGAATAAATACTATAGTTTGACATCATGATTAACAAAAATCAGAAGATGGAAGAGTGGAAATTTTATATGATTCTACATACCCCACTCCCAACTCCCATCTCCCATCCATCATATCATTCAAAACCACTAGCCATATATGTTCTTTTAATTTAATTGTTAGTGTGTGATATATATACAGGCAAATAATTCTTGGTGTTATATACTTTGGTGTTGTCATGTCTAAAAAGAATATAGATGTAATTTTATGAGAAACGACACTCTCATTAATTCTTGGTAAAGATACCATAGTAAAAAGACGGTCCAGATTGATGAAGAATTGTATGGACATACATACACACATTAAAAGCTACTGAATAATTTAAAATAACATAAAATAGAGTGAAAGGAGTTTGGTACAAAGACTACAAACACACTCAAAAAGTAAAAACATCAAGCCATCTTCATATGCTGCATGCTATATATATCTTTCTTTCTTTCTTTTTCTTGAAGTAAAGTAAGACAGGAAATTAAAGTAAATCATGAATTAAGTTGGATAAAAGTTGTGTCGCCGGTTTTTGGCGCTCAAACGTGGTCCGTCGGCTGCAGCAGTGGCTGGCCCAGAGATGACGACTTGATGTGGCTGCTGGGTCCGTGGTCCACCGCCGGCGACTGAACTCCGCCGGCTGCCGCCAGCTTGGCAAACTTTGCTTCCTCGCTTTTGCCCCACAGGACAAAGTATAACCCGATTATGATCAACACCGCTCCTATTATCCTGCAAAATTCAATAACATCCATCCATGTTAATTAATTAATTACAATTAAGCTAAGTAATCAGAGTATCAGACAACCTAGACGACAACTAATGTATCATGTCTGTACGTACCCTCCCAGGTAGAACTCTTCTCCGAGTGCGACGGAGGCGACAATGGCGACAACGAGTGTCTGAACTGGCTGATACACCGCCACGAACACCGGGCCACCCCTATCAATGCACCATATCTGTACAGCGAATGCAATCCCAGATGCCACCACTCCCTGCATTATATATATATTAATTAGTTTAATTAATATATATAATGCAAACAATCAAGCTGGATTATGGCCTTGTTTGGTAAAATGGCTGTTAGCTGTTGGATTGTGTTAATTAAAAGGTATAAATAGTTCATAACATTAGCTGATTGTAGAAAAGTGTTTAGTAAATTAGCTGTTAGCGGATAGCTATTTGGTATAATTTCTTATCTCAAAAAGCTAATTGAAAAAGTTACTTAGGGTAGCTTTTTTAATTTTAGCCTTTTGCAGTTGCAAAAAGCTAATTAACCAAATATTTATATTGATATTTTAACTAAATCAAAGAATTAATAGTAGTCAAATACGCCAAAATTAGCCTGTAGGCCAATTTTTTACCAAACAGGGCCATATCATTATTGGACTTACAGCATAGAAGACGCTGAAGAGTTCGGCGCCGGTATTGATATGCCATTTTTCCGCGTCTCTTTCAAAGACGGCGGCGATGGCGAGGAACTGAAGAACACCAAATAAGCACTGGTAAGAGGTGACGGAGAGGCGGGCCGGGTACTTCTTCAGAACCGGGGCTTGAAGCACCAGCCAGCTGGCCCACGACAGGCAATGGCCGATCAAGAAAACGCAGCCCAGAGTCCAGTTCTTCCCACTCGCGTCTCCGAGGGCGAGCCTCGCCGGAATCTTTTGCAGCGACGGGTGATGAGTTGTCGGGCTGTAGATAGTGGGACCTTTGTACAGCGTGATCACCGTGGCCCCACACACGCACAGAAAAGTTCCCGCCACCTTGGATATTCCATCTTTTCTGTTCAGCCTCACAGTTTCTATCCTGCAATATAATATAGTAATAAGTGGGGACGCACCATATATATATATGCATGATTTTTAAAATCTGATATGGTGTAAAGTAAACTTGAACAGCTCTAATTTGCAGATCGATCACTTGCCTGAGAATGGCGGCTAAGACGAAAGTAATGGCTGGAACAGAATTCTGTATCGCAGAAGCAAATGTAGGGGAAGTGTTGTCCAATCCCAACAAGTAAAACCCTTGATTTGCAGTAATTCTGTCATCGTAAAGATCATGCCAAAACATTTCAGGATTATTCAAACAAATTAAAAAAAAAAGAACAAGATATACATATATGCATTCAAACATACATACCCAACAATTGCCAGGAGGAAGAACTGAACGGCAAAGTTCCAGGTGAGGCGAGGTCGGTTTTTCCTGATCACAAAAACCAATAGAACATAATAAGGAACCCATGTAGTGCTTAATTAAGAATGTTAAGGTAGCAACGTAACGAGGTTGTACGTACTTTTCGAGAAAATAGGCGAAGGGGAGGAGGAGGAGGAAGGCGAGGATGTTGCGATAGATGGCGAACACAATCTTGCTCATGCCCATGTTAAGGGCGGCTCTGGAGACGACATGGAAACCGGCGTATCCGAACTGCAAGGCCAACATGGCCACGTGGAGCTGAACCTTTTCCGGTATGGCGAACCCCATTCTCCTCGCCGTGGCTGAACCGCCGCCTGCGTCACCCATTTCTGTAACACCAAGCTAAGCTAAGCTAAGCAAGAAATGGAACGTAACTAACTGTGTTTATGGTTTCAACACTGTGATATATTTATACCGAACGAAGAAGAAGAAGAAGAGAAAGATGAGAGGGGGAATGGGGCTGTGTTGATGCCTGGAAAGAGGAGATTTGGGGGATATATATAAAGGTGGAAAAAGGTAGCTAGCTAGAGGAGAGGAGCTATGGCAAGTATGGGAAAAAAAAATTAAAAAATTTCACCTTTTATTAAATTAATGCATTTTTTTTTATAAAAAAAATCAATTCAGTAATTTAACAATTTTAGTCTCGACTTCTTACAAAAGAGAATTATAAGCAACATAATAAACAAAAAATTGATAAGAAATTTTCTTCTTGTATTTTGTGGTCTTTATTGTTCTTGCTATGTTACTTTGTTTGTAACCGTTTTCCAGTAAGCTAAGAAAACAAAAATAAGATTCTGAATTACATCCAAAAATAAATGTCGATTGGATGAAAATTATAATTATTGTAACTATGTTTCCCAACTTTCAATTTCATTTATCTTTTTTTTTTTATTAAATTTATCCTTTTAGGTTTCCAAAAATAAAAATGTACTTGAGCTAAATTCTAACTTAATGGTAGAAATTAATTTTGAACATATACATTTTCTTTGTGTTCAACTATGATGGAGAATTCAGAATTGTGTCCACATTTTTAGTTGGGTTATAGTTGGAACAAAGAAACTCAATTATTTAGTATGCCCAATTATGGTGGGTAATTGTATCTTCATTATTGTAGTTGGTCAAATTGATTATATATAAATGTGTATATCATTAATTCTGTTAAAGATTAATTTAAGCAGCGGGAGATATCATTTGAATTAAAGATGTTCCATTTTATAAAGTATTTCACATCTATTAGCCTAGCTTGTGTTTGCTCTTATAAGTTCATTAGTTCAATTTATTAAACATTTAGTTGTGCAACATATTTATGAAAATGTGTTAACGATATTAAGAGGTTTATTAGAACAAAGGTGTTGTACTTGTGGTATACTATCTCAAAATAAATTCTTTAATTAGCAATTAATAGTCTTTAGTTCCTTCAAAATTGAACTTGAGTCATTTAATTTGATTTGTAAGAATTAAGACAATTATGGGTAACAAAAAAGTGAGATGACTTATTATGTCTAGGTTATTAATTCAACCTTTAAATATTTGGAGAAGTTTGGTGTATATTTAAAATTCTAAATTTTGGGCTTAGAGTTTTGGTTTCTGTCTAAGCTGTTGGATTGTTTTTGTGACTTGACTATCCTTTTGGCTATATCAATAAGTGGGAGTGACATACAGTGTCAACTTTGATCACTTAGCCATTAGAGTTAGTGTTGAAGTTAAGTAACAAGTCATAGAATATAGGTATGTAAGAGATCCCTACTTAAGACATGTTTTTTGTTACATTGGTTCTAGTGCAATATATGATTAAGTCAATATTTGATTTGGTCATATAAGGATTTAGTTATTTATTTTAGCTTTAACTGAATATCTGTTGACACGTAGGCTTCTGAACAAAACGGTCCTCTTATAGTTCCTGTGATTAGAATACACACACCGGCCATCTAGTATTAAGAAGAGAAGTGATAGACAAAACGACTAACATATATTGTTCTACAAATTAATCACCCCAAAGACAATCCAAAGATAATATTAACTACGGCGAAAGATGATTTAAATCATTCTAAAGCTTTCACGGCTACGAGTCAGGTTTTTCGTGTTTATGTTTTATTAATTTCATGTTAGTATATATTTTTGCGGTCATGAATTAAAATTTTGTTATCCGATCTTGGCATTCTAGCTTTTGGTTTTTAATGTACTAAATTAATTAATTAACCTACTTCCCAAAAAATATAAATTGTAAATAAATATTTATATATGGCACTAATGATGATACTTTGAGAGGGTGGGGATACGAGAGGGGGAAGGTGGCAAGCCGCCATCACTAGATCATAGCACGCACGGGAAATGCCGGTGGGGTGGTGGGTACACCGTGCACGCTGTCCGCCCTCACTACCCCATCACTCCACCACCACCCTTACTCATCTTAACTAATATTTATTTGCTTAATTATTATTTTTTCAATTCGATTAATCGGCGCCTAGATGACTGCCTAAGCCGCCTTGTCTATGGCGCCTAGGTGACCGACCGCTTAAAACGACGATTCCGTCAAATTTTTAGGCGGCTGGCCGCTGCCTAGCGCCTAGGTGTGATTTTTGCAACCTTACATGTAGTGTATACTGATAAAATTTCGTTCCTATAATAGCTCGCAAATTATATAGGAGAAGTACGAAAATATAATTATGTTATACCCACTCTATTATTATTTTTAAAATTTGTTAGTAATGTTCTGATCGAATATGTTCCCTCACTTTGTATTTAAAAATATAGTATGGATATGTCATAAGACATATTAATTAGGTGTGTTTTATGATTAAGGGATGTAATCAAGTGTTTCCACTAAAACTTCCCACTCCCGTTTCTGTGCGATTTCATATCCATCTTTTGCTTTATCAGACATTCTCCACCCCCACCCTCCTCTCAATTCAACCTCCATCATCATCATTCTCAATATTTCACCTGAAAAACATAAAATAAAAAAAAAATAAAAAAATGTCAAGTGGGTGAAACATGATTCTCATAATCAAATTTCATAAGTTTAATTTCAGACAACATTCTCGATCAACCAATTACATATGTTTTCATTTGCAAATTATTACACAAAAGTAATATTTACCTAATACATATTTTTAAATAACCGCATAGAATATATATTAGAGTTGACCGAATGCACAGTTAAAATATTTCTCTCTCTAACAAAAAAAAAAAAAGAAAAAAAAAAAGAGAGTAATGCTCGCCATTAGGAGAGAATATAGTACTCATTTGGGAGAAAAGAATATAGTACTCATCATTACATTACAAGATGCTATAATTAAAAACACTTTTTATCCTTAAAAAGGAGGCTCGGCTCTTTCTGTCACGCACCAATCCTAGGTTAGATATTTATTATTAGAGTTAATATCATTTGAGCTCTTCCAAGTATAATGATTTTATTATTTTTAGCCTTAATTTTTCAAATTCACTATCCATAACACATTCAATTTTCAAATTGTTACTATATGTGATCCAAGTTAACTACTCATGGTCTTTAGACTATTAAATTTTAATCAGTTATAGTCCTTACAGGAAGACCACAACTGATTAAATTTTATAAGTTAAAGGATCATGGGTGGTTAATTTGGACCATAGATGACAAAAATTTAAAAGTTAAAAGAACACAAGTTATTAATTTAAAACTTTAAGACTAAATATGACAAAATCACTATACTGAATGACCACCCATATGGTACTAATTTTATTATTATTATTATTATTATTATTATTATTATTATTATTATTATTTTATATTTCACGTTGAAATATAAATTATTGGCATTAAAGAAATAAAAGAAAAAGCGTTTTACGTGTTGTTGAGTAAGTTACATGAAAGGTCCATGTGTTTTTCCCACTAAATAAATAAATAAAATGAAATAAAAACCCACCATAAGAACAGCAGCACGAGAGGTCCTAGAATTAATTAATTCTCTTCTTTTGTCCCACATCAATTAATGTTGCAATTATTTCTTTTAACATTTACTTGCTTCCCAATAGCAATACTCCAATAATTAACTTGGTTTTTATTCAATTTTTTATCTTTTTTTTTTTTTTTTTTTTGGTGCCAGTGAGGTATGACTGTCAAAAGTAATGCACAGTCTAAAAAATACAATTTTATACGTGTTAGTATTATAGGAAACGATTTTAAATCAATTATAAAAATATATTAGTGTTTATTTTTATTGACTCAGCTCGACGAATAGCTCAAAGAAATAAAGGACAAAATGGGCTTGTACCAAACATGTATGGATATAGTAGAAATCTTAGCAATGAAATATTAGAGAGCGTGTCATAGACATATTAGATGTATTGTTACGATTTTACCCCTTCAAATTTGACTCGTGGCCTTTGGTTTGAGTTATGAGCAAAAGATATTCTTACAATATATGATACCGCTAAATTAGAGAACATTTGTAAAACTAGAATTCTGATCTGGTTTTACCCATATATATACATATAATAACAATACTATGAAGAGACGATGGAAACATAAGGGCAACTACAATAATGATTTTTGTTCAATTTATAAGGAAAACATAGCTTATGTGGAGGAGAGATAATATTTGGGGATCTGCAAGCAGTTGGTTTATTGTGAGTCCCGTGGCACAAAGAAAGTGGAGAAGAGAGCACATTGTTGCGCGTTTGGCGCACATACAACCCTCAGCCGGGCGCGTGTAGTGCATGTGCTGGCAGGCGCATCCTCTAAGTTTTTTTTTTTTTTTTTTTTTTTTTTTTTTGCGTGTTAGATCTGCTTTATTTTTATTTCTTCTCTTTCCCTCAGCTCTTTTCTAATTGGCACCACAAAAAAACTACTCCGCATGAGGTTGCCCTTAAACCTAAATCTAGACTAAAAGTAGAAGGTAGGGAGGGCTAAGTGGGAGATGAGTGGAGGAAGCGGGCGGTATGATGAGACCGGTCGGAGACCACCTGACTAAGAACCAACAGACCATGCAGTGATTACTCTCTGCAACTGCAAAGCTCCAAACCTTACTTTCATTCTCTTTGAATTGGGGTCACAATAGATATTCCATCTTTAAGTATGGGTGACAGCTTTACCAATTTTGGATTCGGTGTTGCACTACACAATCTTCTTGGCATGCCATTTGCCCTTCCCCACTCACTCAGCTTTGACTTTGGACCCAAAAGGCCATTACTAACATTAACAATTATGGATTGCAATCAATAATGTTCTGTTCATTCGCCTATTCACACATTATTACACTAATTACACTCCCTATTCAAACAACTATATATTTGGACTCATTAAGGTCAGGTCAGGTCAAATGAAAACAACAGGATAGATATAATTATCTAGATTCTGAACGTTTACAACAATCAATTATAATTCTAGATAAAGTTTATTTTATTTCAAAATTATATTTATCACTGTTAGTTCAAACTAAAACTCTGTTTGATAAAGCTTATAACTTATTTTAAGCTATAAATAAGCAATTACTTTGTTTGGTAAAATATTTGATGAACTTAAAATAATAATTTATTTTGAAACCCTATTTCAAGTAACGTTTCAAAATAAGCTTATGATTTTTTAATTTTTTTATATCTTTATTAATTTACAAGATGACAAACCTACCCTTCATTAATCACAATGACAAATAAATATTTATGTTCATGTACAAAGGGAAATGCGACAAAGAATATCCCTAGGCAAAGAAATGGGTGAAACTTATCCCGTGGAGGAACATGGGAAGAAACCTTTTTCCTTTTTTCTTTTTGTTGTCGTCCTTTTCTTATTTTCCATTGCCTTTTCCCTTGGTTACAAACACAAAAGGAAATAAAAGTGGAATAAAAAGCTTAAAACTAACCAACATAAAAAGGACATCCTACAAGGTCGACATGTGCAGACACATGACAAATGCCATTCAACTCCCAAAAACATTTACACAAACTACTTTTTTTTTTTTTTTTTTAATGAATATTGATTTTCGCAAAATATGAAATAAAAATAACTCACTAGATTATACTCCGTCAACCTTGTATATAGTGCATGAACAGAGGAATAACCGACCGAAATTGACGCAATGTAGGTGAAAATAAAGACAAGGTGAAAACTAACGTTGTGCAGTTCTGCAAATTTCGCAGACAGACTGTTTCGAACACAATAATATTCCACCCCAGACAACAAGAGATAACTTTGTTGAAAGGTGAGAGATTCGTGTTTGGAATCTCTCACAGGGCTATCATATCAGCTTTGACTCTCACCAGTCACCATGGATAGATGCTTCCTGAGTAGACCGGTAGGCCAATAGCCCATGGATTGTGCACCAAAATACATCTCTTTCAATTAAATGCAATGAATAATAGCCATCCTCACGCCAAACAAGGTGGCTAACCTTATTATGAATGGGTTCTGAATGTGTTCCCTTCACCACAGCCATCACTCATCTAAGGTTCCCCTATTGCTAATTATTACTGTCATTCTCCTATTTTATCTGTCATGTTTACTATGACTTCATACAGCACACCTTCCATAGCTAGTGGACAAAATGCACTCGGTTTATTTTATCTGTCATGTTTATTATTTAAAGATTTCTCTAAATATAAAAAGCTTTTCCCTATCTTTATGCAGCTTACCTTCCATGGCTAGTGGACAAGACCCACCTCGCTTTACTGCTTTCTTTTAATCCCACCAACCCACTTCACAACAGGATTGAGAGCTCAGCTGCAGATATTTCACAAAACAGTGACTAAAGTAAGCAAGCATATATCAACAAGTGAAAACAATGTTCATGCAGTCCAGCATCATGCATTCTGTGTGAACTCTCTAATGAAAATGAACAATCAGAATGTCCATTTCAGAGGGGATAAACCTTACTTCATAATCACCGCACGACAAAACTGACCAGGTCACTATATACATCACACTCTCCCACTCTCACCTTGTCTCTGAATAATTTGAATGGAATTGATTAATTTTTCCAAATATTTGTCACTCTTAAAACTTTCACAATGCTGCCAACAGCTAAGAGCAAGTACACTAAGATCACATGGCATGCATCAGATATCAAATTTTCAATTTAAATGCTATAAGAAAGATGTGATTACTTGAACATTACATAACAATCACGGAAAATGATATCAGATGAATACTGGCAATCAGCAGAAAAAGTAAACTCAGTCTTATGGCAGTATAATGTTCTGTCAGTAAAATAATTCATATTGAACATAGATTTATATTCGAGCCAATAGTAAAAACAGTTCTCACAGTAAAAAAGTATTTGCCTCAAACAGCATTATGACAATATTCATTTTTATCATACTAGAGAGGATATGCAAAAAGGAAGTATATTGCAGCATATGCCCTAAGCATATACAGATGATCTACATAGCATATTCAGCAAACTGTGAATAGATGCATGAAAGAACCAAATAATAGACACCGATGCAGTGATCATCTTATCTGAGAAAAGTGTGACTTAGAAATATTGCAGATTCCATTCATCTGTAGGGCCATTTCTATCTTTATCAAGACAATCTTTATAAAAAAAACTATCCTTGTATTTATTGTTAGCTACTTTTGATATCCGCATTCACAGGAGTGACAAAGTCTCCATTAACAGTCCCTCCAAAGAGCACCAAATGAATAGAAGGGCCCCAAGACAAATGATCTCCCAACCAAAATATAAGATTCAACTGAATCAGTGGGTGACACATTCGTGGTCCTCCCCGCTGAATAAGAGGCCATTCCAGATACTTTGTGCTCAACCTCCATTTCTCATCAATAAGTGCATCCCCACCCCCCTCCTTCAGTTTGGTTTTCTTTATTTGAATTTTTAAAGCAGTATATGAGCAACTTATTTATATTATTATATAATAGATACTCCATATTGTATATACACACAAACATATTGTCATTTGTCATGTGATGAAGATCTGAATATGATTAGAGAAGAATAGACAAATGTTAAAAGTGAAAACACGCCCATATAGTGCATCTGCAATAGGGATCAAGTTACTGCAAGGACCAGGCATCTCAAAAATAAGAAACAAAACTGAAAAGAAACCATCTTCTCTATATCTTCTAATTTTCGCAAACAAGCAACCAAGCATTTGTATCAAAAGTTTCACAAAAAAAGTCATATAACATCCTTTTCTACATTAAAGAAGAAATATCAATCGGGCCTCTAGAAAAGTATTTTCCGTGTCCTATGTGACACAACCATTCTCTTCAATTCTGAAATCATTCATAGAAGCATTATTAGGCGAATACATCCTCGCAAGTGTAGTTGTCACATTGCTTTCATAATTTTATCATCTTAGATTAGAAGTTAATGCAGCATGCTAATCCACAAATATTCTGACATTATTTCCAAAATATCCCAGCAAAGGTGTATAAATAAGAATTAATGATTTCATGGCAAAATCAATCCATGGAATCAATATCTTTGATTGACATGAATGCTGCACTAACATGGAAATGCGCATGTTGGAATTATTCAAGAAAAACACTGCTGCATCATCATGAATTTCAAGAACATCAAGCTTTATGTGAGTTCATAGAACAGATGCCTATCAATTAAATTATATCCAACATCTGAGAAATGCACACGCCATGCAAACTTTAAAAAATCTAGTTCAACGCATTTGCACTAATGCAGCATGCCTAACATAACAACACATGACATATATGCTCCCTCCTAATAAGCCCCTCCAATTGAATGCTAGAGCTGAAGTAGCACAAATTCTTATTACATAATAAATCTCAAAGTTCAAGAATTGCAACCTGTTGTTGGAAAGCACAAAGGAGATAAGCACTTAACATCTACCTCTAAGTGTAAGTTTAATAAATCACAAGGTCCACATTTAGATTAACTCAAAATGTTACTTGCAGAAATTGCAACATATTTTAGGCAATTACTTAAAGTTATAACACTTGGAACGATACTCACATTCAGCAGCATCTGAAGTTGGTAAATGACCAAGTTCTGTCACAACTCACTAGGCTATTTCAAAAAGCAGAAACTGAACTGATGCATACCCTTAAAGAGAACACCCAAAAGCACACAAAACTGAATATCTACTTCATAATAAAGAATGGTACATGAGCAGAAAAGATTGGCATTCCAGCAGGGGAGCTCCAAACAATTAGTATATATCTATTATATATAAAGAACAATAGTATAATACTAATATTCCCAATACACTTCTTAGCATTGTTAACCCAATCCCAGACATCAGTGTTAAATAAAAAGTAAAATGGGACACATTTTACATTTTGGTCATTCAAATGCTCTGGAATAAGAAGTAAAATGGTCCATGGTTTGATAAAACACATTTGTAATGATGGAAATGCATTATTACTAAGTACTAACAACCCTAGAGGGCCTTTATATAGGCCTAACATATATGACTATACAGAATCAATACCAGACAAAACTGTTTGATGGAGCGCATATTTGTATTGTCAGAAAGCATTATTACAGTCAACAGTATCAGCCTTTATGTAGGCCTTAGATATATGAGTACACGTGAATAAAAATACCAAACATAACTGTTTGATAGAACATATACTTGCATTGATGAAGCAGCATATTTGCAGTCAACCTAGAGAGCCAAATTGGCCTCACATGACTTTATGGAAGCAATACCAAACATAATAAACAATCTTCTTGGTCTATAACAATGAAACTTTTCTGATCAAATATAAGGTGAGTGCCTAATTACTTCATACAAAGAAATAATATACTAACGTCATTAAATTTCCATTTCAAAGGAGTAGGCACTGTTTGTTATGGCTGAAAATAAGCCCAAAGCCCAAGGCAAATTAAGAGGAGTAGGGACTGCTTCATAGATTAAATACTCCCTCCATGCCACACTGAATCCCCACATTTCATTTGTGTACCATCACAAAAGATTACCCACTCCTAAAAAGAAAGTTATAATCTGTTTCTACTTCTGTATTTTGCAAAACGTAGCAAATGTCACAAATTCCAACCATCCAATAATACCAAGAACTCACATCTTTAGTTTCTAGCCCAATTGTAGTAAATTAGCATGTATTTTAAACTTAACCTAATAAGCCATTTCATATTATCTTTACCCCTTACCAGTCATACCAAGAGAAAGAGAAGATCCAATTTATCTCAAAATGAGTAACACTCCATCATTCTATACTACATTCAAACATAATAAACCGCCAAAAAGTACAGGGTTATAGTGATAAAATATTTTTTAAAGACAAGCATAGTTGAAAAACAAATGTAGAATTAAATACACACATTCATACAATCTATAATAAATACAGAAAACAATTACGACAGGATTTTTAAAAAATGGAAACAAGAGAATATGAATCTAAACATAGATTCATCACACTCCAATATAAGGTAAAGCTGAGAATGAATTATAGTGTATGTCATTATATGGGCACATTCGTGGTCCTCTACCTCTTTTCCAAGATAAACAACAATATCCACCACTGCAATACAATTGACTCTTGAAAAACTAAAGTATACCTCTGATCATCTGGAACTCATGATTAACAACTCATTCTTGCTTCGCAAGTCTAATATACAGTCAGAGAAAGAAGGCTATTATTCAGCACCTGCATCCTCTGCAGATTTCTTGTACTCAGGCTTTAGCTCGTAAGTACCTTGGTTTGCTCCCCTCTTATTGTATACACACAGCTCATTTAGTATCTCCTTCAGAAATTGCTATATGCCAATTAAAAAACCAATTAGCCAGTGTTATTGCTTGATACAGTGAAACAACACTAAAAGGATACATAATCTCTCTTTGTCCACCCCACCAACCATCCCTTCCCCCTATTCAAGTATTCAGTTCTTTCTGGGATTGTATTATGTGAGCTCCAAAAAAAAAAAAGAAAAAAAAAATAGAGAGTAAATTTAACACTCAAAACAGCAATTACTCATAGCATCCGGCAAGTAATCAACTATTTGGATTGCAACTGGGATTATAACACATCTCAACAAGACAGCAGACAGTTTAGTATTTGGCTATATGATCACAAAATAGGAAGTTGTCAACTGGAAAGAAAACATACCGCAGGTTGATCTGTCTCTAGGACTAGATTCTTCAAGGTCCAATTAGGTTGTCTTTCAAAAAGTTTAAACATGATATCTTCCAGTTCACCACGGTCCCTCCTAGTTCTTTTGACTTCAGGAGCCTTAACTGGAGCTGGCTTCTTCTTCTCCTGCAGAGAGATTTAAATTAAAGAGGCCATACATTATCCTAATTACACAAGCTTACATGTACTGGAAGGAGATCATGGAGCACAACCACATAGGTCGTTTATTGTGGACACAGACAAAATGCATATATTTCTCCACCCTATTCAAACATTGTTTGGTTACACAGGTTCATAGATAGCAATAGTAAGCATTCTATGTATAAAAAGACTCATAGGAAACACTATTTTGAGACAATTTTTTAATGATGATTCCAGAATTGAAAATTACCACAGGGTTTACTTGCGAAGTCATGAAACAACACAAGTTGGAAATCAAAGTCAACATAGTATTTTCCAGATGTGTTAAGTGGTCCAACCCCAACTGCAAAAATTTAACAATATTCAGGTAACATATAGAAAGAAATTATAAGTACCTTAGAAGTGGATGCAATCACTCCAAACATTCCAGGCATGGGCCTCATGTTTACTCCACGATCATTATCAATGACCTAGTTGAAAGCAAATCAAATGCAAAAAAAAAAAAGTCTGAGACAGTTGCTGAAGCCACAAATGTAAGAGAAAATTACTGAAATAGGACATGATCTACTCTACCTGAATTTGCCTGTTCTTGACCATTGATTTGTTGGTTCTTTCACGACACAGTTTTCTGTACTCTTCCATATTCCGATTGGCTGGCTTCATGTCAAATTTATACTCAACTTTTCCTTCCGTGGCAACCTTTCCTGCAAAAGAGCATAACACAACATTCAACTAGTTATGATTACCAGCTTAAAATAAAAATCATCCATACCTAGATAAAGAAACTAATGAACCACACTCCTCACCTTGACTTGACTGTGAGAATATACACATTGGGACGAAGTCATTGGTCATATTCAAGCAGTAACTTTTTGGGGCGTTCCCACCTTCATTGCCAATCATTTCCATTGCAAACTGATAATAAATACACACAGCAATGAAGTAAATTAACACAGCTTCTCACCCCAATAAATATATGGAGAAGGAAAGTACTAGTCTAATTTACAACTAAAAAGTTTTCTCAGCACACAACACAGTATCTCAAATAAATAAAAACGAGAACTGAAAATTGCACAGTTAAAACAGTCAAATACTTGCAAGTAGATATATGCAAGTATTAAAGAGAGATTGAGAAGATTACTTCGGGAGAATTATCAACGGGTTCGTCCGGATCCTTGGGAAGAAGATCGAGAGAAACGACAACTTTAGCTACCGGCGGCGCGTCTGATGAGGAGGCGGTGGCTTGAGACTGCCATGATCTGGAGACTAGTAGAGGACATTTCATCAGCCACACAAATTTGTCGGCCTTGGCCGTGTCCACGGCTGTGGTTTGATCGTCTTCCATTCCCGATTCTCCCTCGAATTGTGCTTTCTGTGACTTTTCGTTTCCTTTTCTCTTTCAGTCGTGAAGTTGTCTGAAGCCGTTTGACTGGATTGGACTGGATCTGACCGGGCCAGATTAGGGCTCGTATACACTATCCACTGCGCTAAGAGGCGGTTATTTCTGGCGCACGCAACCCTTTTTTTTTTTTTTTTTTTAAATCCGAAAAGTTTGGGCTTCAAGTAACGTAGCCATATGCTTCTATATTGGGCCAAAGTCCAAGTGAAATAATGTATTTGTAAATGAAATTAAATTTTGCCATTTAGTCTATATATATACTGTGTTGGTTCATACAAAATGCAATCGTTATACCCTACACCACGGCGCACATAGCACAGTGCGTCGCGCGTCTCCCAAAACGACGTTGTTTTGAGGTCGTTTTGGGAGGCGCGGTAGGAAGTTGCTAGGATTATGTGTATTTGTTCATACAGTTATGTGTATTGGTTCATACAGTTATGTACATTTTTTATACAATTATGTACATTCTTTTTATACAATTATGTACATCCGAATCAGAAAATTTGTGTGTATTATGTTAATAGTTGATGTGTATTATGTTAAAAGTTTATGTTTATTATGTATTATGTTAGATTATGTGTATTATCTTTTAAAAATATTATGTATATTTTGTTATATAATTATGTACATTCATGTATACAATTATGTGTATTCTAGTATAACATTATGTACATTCTTGAACAGCGGGTTTTTTTTAAAGAAAAAACTACTGCCATTCACTGGGGCGGGAAATTTAAAAAAAAAAAAATTTAAAACAACGTCGTTTTGCATCTGGGCGCATATTGCAACGCGCGCCGTGGTGTAGGATATAAATTGCCTACAAAATGTCAATCTCGTTTGATCAATGCTACTGACTCCATTATAATGTAGTATCTGTTCATAGCATAACTATTTTCTCAACTTACTGAAAGTCCAATCCGGGTGCTATCTGAGCACTTAAAATTTTAATAAAAGATTATAATAAATTGTACCTGTTAGATAGAGACGATGAAGACTATACACATAATTAGTCTATGGTATCTTTGATCACATAACAAAAGAAGAGTCATCATCATTGGAGAAATATAACTAGAAAGACCTTTTTCTTGTCTTGGACATGTCTTGGTAAGGTTGTTGGTCATTGAAGAGCAACTCTAGTTTGTAATTAAAGTTTTCAAAAATATTATGAGAGACATAAAAGCACTGATAACTTTTTATTTTAATACATGTTAACATTTTTGCTTATACAATACTTTTATGATGAAAAGTCCAAATGCTCATATATTTAAATTCATATTGAACCAACCCCAGTAAAATAAACATACCATAACAAAATTCTTTCACTAGTAATCAATTCCTTTGTAGAACTCAATTTAATAATCAGCCAGCACTAAAACGAATTACTGAATATGTGAAATATGATTTTTGTGTTAAAAAACTCATAAATTTAATTTGTACTGATACACTCTTAATCAAACTCGTAACACATAATTTTCATAACAGAATTTAAATATGTCTCTCATCACAAAAAAATAATATACTCCGTAATAATAGTAAGGAATAAGGCCGGTCTCTTTCGGACGGAAGGTGTCACGTTTGTATCGATGGATAATGGATCCCTTTTATTGTCAACTTCCTAACATCAGACGTCACTCATGATGCCACTTCCTTGGATATTTTATACAGTGATTAAATTACATTTTCAGCCCATAACTTCACCTTATTCAAAGAAGCAACATCATTCGTTGCAGATAAAAAATGACCAATAATCATCGGAAACGTGTCCAAATACGCTACGACCAAGTGGATAATATAAAATTCTCCGAAAGGAAACAGTGCCACTCTTTATATTCACTCCTCCCACTCCGTTTCTTCAACCTCCATTGAACTTTACCCACTAAAATATGGATCGGTTTTTTCTCTTCTCTCTCCTGATCATTGGATTAGCCTCTGCGTCGTTTGTACGCGCAGACTTCTCCGCCGAGGACCCTTTGATCCGGCAGGTTGTGTCGGAAGAAGACGGCGACGACGATCCTCTGCTCAACGCCGATCACCACTTCTCGTTGTTCAAGAGCAAGTTCGGGAAGAGCTACGATACTGAGGAGGAGCACGATTACAGATTCTCGGTGTTTAAGGCTAACTTGCGCCGCGCCAAGCGCCACCAGCTCCTGGACCCCTCCGCCGTCCACGGGGTCACGAAATTCTCCGATCTTACTCCCAAGGAGTTCCGCCGCACCTTCCATGGGGTCCACAAGAGCCGCGCCAAGAAGCTCAAGCTCAGGCTCCCAGCCGACGCTAACAAAGCCCCGATCCTCCCAACTGACAATCTGCCCACCGACTTCGACTGGCGCGACCATGGTGCCGTCACCGGCGTCAAAAATCAGGTCTTTTTTCAACTTTCTGTACTGTTTCTTTTAACCCATATACATATGTACGTGTTTTCTGACTCCGAGGAAGCTTTTTAGGGTTCTTGCGGATCGTGCTGGTCTTTTAGTACCACCGGAGCTTTGGAAGGGGCTCACTTTCTGGCTACCGGAGAGCTAGTCAGCCTCAGTGAACAGCAGCTCGTCGACTGCGATCATATGGTTCGTTCTTTTTTCGCCTTCACTTTTCATTCATTGACATATATGGACTAGTTCTTCTTTTATGCAGAGTATTATGCTTTTTCTTTTATAGCATTTGTAAAGTAATTGATTGTATTGTCTCCCTTATTACTTGTGATTCATATTCATACTGTATAAGTTCATAGACAACTTTCAGAATACCTTGTTATTTTAGTCTAAATCTTTGGTACAGAGAGTTAGTTTTGCCAATTCTATGGATGCATTTGCCATACTAGTTGCCTCTAGTTTAAGGACAGTTTTCTGAGTGTTTTAGTTGATAGATTATGGTTAGATGTTCATGTTATAAAGACAGGATTAGCTGTGGAACTCCAACCAAGTTGGTCAGGTGTTACTTGGTAACCACAAGGTTTAGACTCCTAGTTGGAGCAGCCTATTGGCCTTCTTGGTTTGAGTCATGAGCAACCTAGGATGATTTTCCTCGTGGTTCTTTGTCAGCTAGGATCACAAGGCGGGATTTACCCGGACTGCGGGTTTCTCTCGGCACTCAACATAAAAAAAGATTAGCAGTCTATGGCAGATGAATTGAATTTAATGGCACTACAAAAATTTAGTCATACTAGTCTAGCAGATCCAAGATTGGAGAAGCTTGAATAAGGTCAAACAGCAAGTCATATAATGATCATGGCTTTTTAGTTAAAAGAGGTGTTTGTTGCAGTTTTAGTTGTTTCTCCATTTCCTGTCTTAACAGCCTAATCTTTCTGTTATTTGCAGTGTGATCCCGAGGAACGTGATGCGTGTGATGCAGGTTGTAACGGAGGGCTTATGACCACTGCATATGAGTATGCACTTACGGCTGGTGGTCTTGAACGCGAATCAGATTATCCTTATACTGGGACTGATGGGACTTGCAAATTTGACAAAAACAAGGTTGTTGCGTCTGTTGCTAACTTCAGTGTAGTCTCTCTAGATGAAGATCAAATCGCTGCTAATCTTGTTAAGCACGGTCCCCTTTCAGGTAGTTGTTTACCCACCCAAACCTCAAAAGCTGAAACCTTTTGCTTATGATCTAACGTCATTCTTGATTTTCTTGTTAAATTGCAGTGGGAATCAATGCTGTTTTCATGCAGACATACATAGGAGGAGTTTCTTGTCCATACATTTGCAGCAAGAATTTGGATCACGGAGTGCTGTTGGTGGGGTATGGTTCAGCTGGGTACGCCCCGATTAGGCTCAAGAACAAGCCTTACTGGATCATCAAGAATTCGTGGGGAGAAAACTGGGGAGAGGAAGGATATTACAAGATCTGCAGGGGGCGTGATGTCTGTGGGGTGGATTCCATGGTCTCAACTGTCACCGCTGCCAATACTGTTAAGCACTAGTAGTAACGGTTAAGATTTGTCTCACAAGGTTGTATTTGTTGTCTGTAAATATCGAAGGCAACCTGTGCGCATTTAAACATATTCCAAACAACATACTCCAATTTGTCTTTCTGCAGACAATGCTTAATTAAACATTTGAATGTAGCTGTCTTTTGCTTTAATATGATCTGTTTTCATTTCAGTGCTTATGTAGCCCAACTCTTTTACATTCTTTTGGGTTGGCTGAGGTTTCTAAGCCCAACATCATATGAACTTTTGGAGAAAATCAAAGAAATTAAGAAAAGAAAACAGTTCTGTTTATTCTCCAATCTCCAACCATGACTTACTCGATCAATAAATCTGATGTTTTTCACTCTCAAGTATCATCTGTTAAGTCTTAAGGAGTCATTGAGTCTTTACTGGACCAGGTCCTCAAATTGAGCTTGTGAGGGTCTACTGGGGTTCGATTCTCAAGAGATTCAAAGGCAATAAGCTTTCTTTGTACTTCAATTTAATCGGCTAACTTTCTATATTACCTTGTTCCTTGACTAACCGAGTAGTTATATTGGTCTGCCCTTGATTGCTCTAGGTCGTAGTACCATTAGTTACTTTAAAAGGTATTTTTTGTCAAATTCGTCTGGTGACCATAGCCAACAAAAGACAAAAAAAAAAAAAAAAAAAAAAAACATAAATTATTTTATATTAGGTGATGGGGTGTGGACTTAATGGCCCTAGGACCTAAGGGGAAAGAAGAGATAGGCCAAAGACTGGGCCTACGGAGGTAGGCCTCGAAGGAAGAACGGCAAGAATCTACATCATGGGCCATGGGCAGGCCTGGAGGAAGACGCAACCGAGTAAGGAGTCGAGTCCAAGGAGTCAGCGCGGGCGGACGGTGGGCATGGATAGGGGGCGGCCCAACAGGTGTCTGTTGCCATTAAAAGGCCGCCTTTAATGCACAGTCAACAAGACCGTTGGGGAGGCCTAGTAACAGCAACACAACAGCCCTTAGCCTTAATAGGCGCCATTATGTCGCTTTAATACCCCTATTTAAATTAGCAAAGGGTGGCTACCTATAAAAGGGCCCTCTTGGAGAATGTAAAGGCAAGTTTTTCCAGCAGAAAGTCGCCAGAGAGTACAAGTGAAATACAAAGAGTATTAATAGTCATTTCTCCCTTATAGTAACTTTATTTTACCCGTGAATCCACCAACTACGGTTGTGTTAGACCTTCTTGGACCCAAAAATCCTAAAACCAACATTAGACATATGCATAATTGTTAGACTCATACTGTAATAAAAATCAATAGGTAGGAAAATCGAACTTAAAATAAAACACTCTTCACCATCTTGAAATGGTAGGTAGTAGTTGAACAACATTTGTTTCTCGTATGTTCATTATGTTTTAAGTTATTAAGCATAAATACATTGAATACGACTTGTCCTTTCCCCCAATCCCGAGTAAATCATAAAACCTATATTCTCTATACTCTTCTACCCCATATTTCTTTTATGGACTATTTATTTCAACATTAATGACACAAGAATACAAATCCATCCCTACAAACGTTCCATTCAATTAACTAGTACGACTCACATAACTATTCGACACCGACAACCACTATAACATATACCTTTACGGAATTACGGATATAATAATATCACTAACAACGTTAATAAAGAAAATATTTTTTTTTTCCAATTATTCTCGGGATGATTCAACAGATAATTGGATCATCAGCAAGTCCTTTGATAGTTGAATGCGACACAGAAAAAGCAGGAAGCTAAGTCGTCATACGAGGGTGCTTAAATGTCGTTGCCAACGCACTATCCAAACCCACGTGAAGATACCTACGAAAAAAGGGGCTAAGGATGAAAAAGGTTGCAAGAGACATAAGGAAAAATACATGTGGTTCAAGTTTCGGGAGAGGAGATCGAGTGAATAGAGTATTATTTTAATATTAAAAGGTCACAGATTTTTTTTTTTTTGAATGTTACTAGCTCTATTACACCTCCACTGAGGCTTGAACTCACAACCTTCCAAATGGAAATCCAACCCGGATACCACTAGACCAAATAGTCCTGGTAAAAGGTCACAGATTTAATTCTTGTCTGATCAACAAACTCTTTTTAGTCTCGACAAATTCAAGTTGTCTTGGCAAATAATCTGATACATCCCGACATACAAGTTAGTCATCTCATGCCACTCATAATAAAATGGAAGTCCTTTCACAAAGCCTTGGTAAAATATTAGCTTATCAGTCAATTTTGGCTTATTTGACCACTATTAATTGTTTGACTTAGTTAAAAAATCAACTCTAAAATGTTAAAATTTAAAAAGTTATTCAAAGCAGCATTTTCAATTAGCTTTTTGAGAAAAGAAATTATGCCAAACAACTAACAGCTAATTTACCAAACACCTCCCTACAATCTAATGTTATCAACTATTATACCCTCTAATTAACTCAATCAGCCAATAGCTAATAGCCATTTACCAAACAGAGCCAAAATATGTTTAAACCCTCTTTTTAAAAAAAAAAAAAAATAATCATGACTTTCCATTTGAAAGACTCACTCCGTACTACTAAATCACAAAGTTATTTGCAATAAATAATTTTTTTTTAAAAAAAAAAAAGAAAAAAAAAGGTCCGTACGCGTTATGGGCACGAATTGAAATATCCAATAGAGGGGGATTGAAAGGCTCTTCGTTGGTTTTCTGTTCCTCCTAAGTCCTAACATAACATACCAAATCAAGAAGGCTAGGCCCTAAGGCACCTCTCAATATGCCATATCGTATACTGCCTCAACAACATCAACCTTTAGATTTTAAATCTGTTTTTGATAAGCATCACATGCATATAATAATAATTCCAAGAAAATTAATGAGAGTAGCAGGATGTATATATAGTCCTATAGATCATTATGCATGGTAATTTTGCATCCAATATAAATCGTATTCAATTCGTTCTCACTCAATCCAAGTGGATCGAATTTTCATGACAGACGATAGTGACTGACACGTAAATCAAACTTTAAAAGTTTAGGTAAAAATCACATTCCTTGTGTATACTTATATTAATGTACACCCACTTTTCTGCAGGGATGGCATCCATTTCAAACTCAAAATTAATACAAATTAAAGTTCTTATTACACAACATAGAATTCATATCGATCTTGTAAATTTTCATGACAAACAATAGTGATTGGTATGTAATTAGCTACTATTTAATTATATATTTTAATTTACCAAGTTATAACACGTTATTGTAAGCATGATACATTGTTAACAATATATAATTTATCTTAAAAAGAAATTTATTATTATTATTATTATTATTATTATTATTGTCAATATAAACAATCTACAATTAACATGAATATTTAAACAATTAAATATTATTTGTCATTCATTTATATCTTTTAGTATCCATATCTTGTAAGATAAGATTAACTTAATGATGCCAAATGTTAATGTTCCATATATAATATTTTATATCTAAATTCTCTCATAGAAATGGTATGAAACTATCCTAATAAAATATTACAGTATTAATTAATGTACTAACATTTTTTGAATTTTTAAATGTTCTCTCATATATAACTTATAAATATATATGAATTTCATATACTAAGAATAATAAACTAAATGTTACGAAAAATTAAAATGTAAATAATTTTACTCAAACATCGTTAATCAAAATGTATACATAGTTGATACAAGGTGAGATATTAAGAGAACTAAATCACTTGCCAATAATACGGGTTGACTAAAACCCCTATATGTAGATTTTTATAAAACCAAAATGATAATAAAAGCTTGGTACACCCTAAATTCAAATGCATTGATTTAAAGGTACAAAATAGGGTAATAAATTCAAATGCATTGATGATATACACACTATCCTTTGCAATGTTGCACAAGCCCTAGCATCAATCATTACTTCTCCCCCTTAGCTTGTTATCTAGGAGGAAGCTAAGGCAAACCTCTATGTTTTTCAACCAAATAATTTCAATCATTGATTTCCCAACAATTTTATTCTTACAAAAAAAAAAAAAAAAAAAAAAAACGAAAGAAAAAAGAACCCTTACTTTTCAATAATAATCTGCAAATTACGAAAAAAAAAAAACTAAAAAATATATGTAATAAACCCAACCAAAAAAGTACTATAAGCAAGAATCAAACTCTGATCATACTTTACTCAATTGACTATTACATTTGGAGCAATGGGAGAAAGTTCTTACACTATGAATTAGGGGACTGGAATCATCTGTCATTGCATGCATTCTTATCTCTCTTTCTTTACAATATATATATATATTTTTTAAATCTCCACCTCAAATCGGCATAGAAAAGAGAGCAAGGAAATCATCAGAATCTTGAAACTAGCACACAATAAAATAATATTCTCAATTTTCTTCTTTCTTTAAAATTAAAAGAAAAAAAAAATAATGCAGCAGTGGTGATCTGATATGATCCAGCAAGCAAACGGGTAAACTGGGAAAAAGTAGCATCGAGTTCAAAAATCTAGCAGAAAGCAAATTGCCAAACACCCAGAAAATAGAAAAACCTAGGAAGAACGTACAAACACAGAAAATATACTAGGTTGAATCGAAACACTCAGCCATATCCACATGTCTGCTGCCATAAAATACGAAAGCATATAATCCCACAGTTTATGATATTAAGTCACATAATTAATGCATTTTAATCTGTTAAAATAAGTCTTTTGATATGAGAGTTATGTAATAATGTATCAGTTGATTCTGGGCGGCTGCTGCAGCAACTGCAGCATGCATTCATTTGACAGACATGATTCAATCAAAAGAAGAACAATTAATATTCATTCAGACATCCCAACCAGCCATCCATCATCACTTGTCTCTAGATTCATTCATACAAATGGTTTCCGTTTTCTAGTTCCAATATTCAAAGGATGTCAAAAAAAAAAAAAAAAAAAAAAAAAGATGGGGAAATGAAATGGCAAAGGAAATTCATTAATCTACACTTAATCCGCCGTGGAAACCCCAAGGGTTCGCCGGCGTTGCCGTACTCAGCCGGTGGTGGTGAGAGTGGAGAGAAATCAGAGAGAATACTTAGGTTTGAGCTTAAGGTCTGGGTGGTGGAAAGAATTGCGTACCAGCCATGATTAGATTGAGTGGAGTGGGGTACAGCGAGGGGTCGAGCATTGTGATCGGCGCTTGGTGGTGGGTAGCGGTGGCGCCGGAGATGAGATTGAGCGGCTGGGAGGAGGAGCCCTCGCCGGCAACGGAGGAGGAGTTGTAGCGGCTCTCCGGCCCTTGATCGTACAGAATTCCCTTGAAAACGTGGCCCCCGATGCTGACCGCCGTCTGGTAGGCATACTGGTCCACCTCGTCATCCATTGCGCTCACTTTTACGCAGCGAAACACCGCCGGAGAATTCACCTCGGCTGGATAATGCGTCCCCACTTCTAACCCTAGTCCACACGTCCAACAAAAGTTAAATAAGGTTGTTTCATATTTTTCCTCAAATGCGACGAAAAAAAAAAACATTCTTGAAAATACAGAAAGACATCATTTTCTGGGAGCCCCAAGACTTTTGCGTCAGGTTTACTGAGAAATAGTAGAAGTGGGGAAAAGAACATGATGGTTGTTGGTCTTCTTTCCAAACCACACAACACGCAAGGAATTATGATCACGTTATATGTTTGTTAGTACACTATTATCTGGTACACGTTCAATTCATCCTCCTCTCTCTCTCTATCATCTTCTTCTTCATTCCCCCCCTCTCTCTCTCTCTCATCATTCGTGGGAGCATTTCTTGATTTATAAGTTTTGTGACATTATTCGTGGGGGGAATTGATTGATTAGAATTGTTGTTGTTTTTATTGTGAGCTAAGCAGTGGAATTGATGTTACCTGACGAGGTGGTGGGTAGACGAGTACAAACGAGAGAAGAAGGGCTCTCTCGTAGGCGTTTGGGGTTGTCGGCGGCGGCGCTTCCGCCTCTGAGGCTGAGATTCTGCTGCTGCTGTTGCTGTTGCTGGAGGGAGGCGAGGTGTTGCTGTCGCTCGCGGCGTTTGGCGGCGGGAACCCACGTGCTCTTCACGTGCGTCTGGCACTGAAAGCCTCTGCTCTTACAGCAAGTTCTGCACCTCATGTGTGTGCAATCTTTCTTGGCTTGGTTTCCACAGTCCTGGCAGTTCAGCCCAGCGCCGCCGCCGCCGCCGCTTCCGCTTGTCCCGCCGCTCGGCCGCATCACCCTAAAACCGGAAGAAGATGATCTGAAGGAATACCCGCCGCCGCCGGATTGGTTCTGATCATCCCCCACCAGATTCCCGCTGCTACTACTGCTCCCACCACCTCCTCCGGCGGGGTGGTTGTTAGGCTGGCCGCCGCCGCCGCCGCCTACGCCTACTGAGAAATCGACGAGATGAGGTTGTTGGTGGTGGTGTTGCACGTGATGCGCCCGGTTTTGATGCATTTGATAGTACTGCTGCCATAGCTCGAAACCCTTGTTGTAGATCTCCTCATTCTTGAACAGATACAAGCTACTATTGTTGTTGGTAGCTCCTAGGTTTTGGTCTTCGTCTTGTTCCTGGTCTTTGTTCCCCCCAGCTGGCCCTCCTCCTAAGCTGAAAAACCCAGACATAATTTTCTACTCCTACGACAACCTATATTTACCCTCAATTTTGACACCATATCCTCAACCCCCCTCCCCTTCCCCCTACCCAGCCCCCCCAGACACTATATCTATATATATATATATATATACGTGTTTGTATCTATATTCTATATCTATCTAGCCACCCCACACCACACCCAAGTAGATATATAAAAAAGATCAGTTTTTTGGATGAGTAGTTTCTGCAGATTTTGATTAGGGTAAAGTTTAAACAGGAGAAAAGATGATGATGGGGTTGCTTCTTTAGCTTCTTTAAGACCTGAATTTCTCTCGTTTCGTGGATTGATGGTGTGCATTAAAGTCACGGCTCTGCAACGCCGCCATGGACACTGCAACCAAACCTCAATTTAAGACAACCAACCCCCCCAACATTAAACAACACATATACAAACAGTACCACAAATCTCTCTGCATCTGATCTTCCCTTTCTCTCTCTCTCTATACATTTCACAACATCATATGACTTTCTCTCTCTATCTCTATCTCTCTCTTTCTCTCACATGTCACTACTAAGCAGTACTAACTATACTTTGTCTGCAACAGAGGACTGGGTTCTTGTGCAGAAAATCTTTCCACTCTTCTACAGTTCTCTTGCAGTTGGCGATAAAAATCTCATCAACTAGGATGGAATCTCCGCCCTTGCATGGTTATCGCACGGCCAGAAAGCGTCCACGTGGCGGAGCATCAGCTTTTGCTTATTCGTCCTTGCACCGGAAAACACGCTCTACTTTTTATTGACCGTTCCCCCATAATTAAGACTCCTCCCCCCTTACCCCCACCCCTACCCCTCCCAATTTTAGTATTTTATTATTCAATTTTTCTCACTATTTTTCAATGAAACCAAGAAATCAACCAAATGTGGTAACACTAACTTACACCAATTTCAGCTGTTTTCCCATCACGGACCAATCAACAGACGTCAACATAGTGACTGTGACCATGCCGCGCCTGTAACCCTTTTTCCGAAATTTACTAACAAGGTAAATTTTAATAGTAAAAATTATGTGTATATATACTTAGAGAAAATGACAAGTTTTCTGTTTTTTTTTTTTTTTAATACTATTAATTCTGTTATAATATAATATCTATTCATATATATCTTTTTAATTTTATTGAAGTACAAAGGGACAATATTGTCTCCATCAAAATTCGAATTCATGACTTCCAATTTGAGGACAACTTTTCTATTTGAATTATTAAAAAGAAAAAAAATCCATCAATAATAATATCATCACATCTTATCCTCTATAATTTTTCTATCCTCTAATTATTTACGAAATAATTTTTTTAAACCTAACAACAAGACTAATGTAAAAAAGAATTATCACCCGATAACTAAGATAAAAAAAAAAGTGAAAACACCCTGAACAAAAAAAATCATCATCATACAAATAATTGAGATTAGTGTTATTTTTGTTATTATCAAGTTAATTGTCTGATCAATTTAGCTGATTTTTTTTTTAAACTTAGGAAAAAAGTGTTTTTAATAAAATATTTATGTTTCTTTTTTCCCATGAATTAAATTGAATATATTGTGTATAAAAAAATCACTAGTGTATAAACAAATGGATGCCTTTATAGTGGGGAGGTTGTATATATTTTAATTTGCGCAAAACGCCTCGTATTCCACTCTAATTCTTTGGGTAATCATTTTATCTTTGACTTATACTACTTCGATTTTTGTTCTTAATTTTTTTCTAGTATCAATGATAATCTAATCTAATCTAATGAAAATATAGACAAGACATTACACAGGTATCCAAAAAGATTTTTTTTTTTTTTAATAAGAAACAAAGGAAAAAATGAGACTTGTTTAACATATTGACAATGTATGTACTACTTATATAGCTACTTCGATAAGAAAATTTGTTTTGAAATAATATATATATATATATATATATATATATATATATATATATATATATATATATATATATATATATATCCAAATATAAAAACATCACCATTTTTTATTCATAATAATTAATTTTTGTATGAATAGGTGTTATAATTTTTTTATAATTATTAATCATTTTACGCAACTGTCATTAGTGCATCATTGAATTGTCTAGGCTGGTTAAGAAACTGTTTATTTTAAAAGATCTATTTTTAGATTATTTTTTTTTTTATTGTAAAATTTTATTATGATAGAAAATGACACCTTTTGTTTTTAAATTATAAAAAAATAACATTTTTTATACATTAATTAAGTCTATTGTCACTTTTGTCTCCTAATTGCTTGTAAAGTGACTTATTTCATCCATTAATGCTGTTAGGGTTAAAAAGAAAAACTATTTTGCTGCTAATTGAGAGTTGAAAAAAGTTACTTTGTACACAAATAAGGGTTGAAAAAATGACAATAGTAATAATGAAAAAAATGATCAAATAGGTCATCCAACTTTATACGAAAATGTAATTAAATCATCAACTTAGGAGCATAATTGTATATTTGTGTATAGTTTGAGAGCTTATTTGACATTTTTCTCTATTAAAATTGATAGATAAAAAGTATACTTCAAAAACAAAACCGCTATCCATTCCTTTGGCCTACTTTCAAAATTTTAGCATGAATAAATGCAGCTAATTCAATCACATTGTACTTAGATGGCATGTAGTGACCTTTCTTTTGTGAGAGGTCATGAGATCGAGCCAGTGATGGAGGCGTTGAGAAAATATATTTGAACAAATACTACAATGTTATAGAGTCAATAGCAAATAATAAATTAGTCACATACCAATATCATCGAAGATAGACTAAAATGGCAATCAGTGTGACATCTTTTTCTAGAAATAGTTATCAACATATAAATTTTCATTGTGTATCTTTAAATCTCACCGTCAATTTCTTAAAACACATAACTTTATATCACCATATATATATAATCCCTCAGCTCCCTTTTCCCAACCTTTCAATTACCACAAAGAAAATGATGTCTACATTTCTTAGGTCAACCCCTTGACAGCAACAGATGAATGGGAGATAACGAAGGTCGATCGATGGATGCTCCTAAGAAAATACCAAAACCTATACATACATTTATTGTGTATACTATGTAGTATAGTGGCTGCCAATCAATGCAATGCATACTTCCATTAATGCCACAGATTCTTGGGGAACAAATCATAAGATACACATAATATTTGGTCGGTTTCCAGCTACCCAAACAGCGCAGAGAAAACTCAGTTTTCATGTCGTATATATACGTAGTTAAGGAACTAATTAAATCATTGTATACGGATTAAGGATGTTCTGGGACGCACTAATCAAGATTAACTGAGTTGAAGAACGTCATTTTCTTGAACTGTGAAAGATTCTTGAGCCTTTCAAGCGAGCTTTGAAAGCGATGGAGGGAAGAAATTAAAATTAAAGAAAAGAAGAAAAGAAATAATGGTAGGTGCTTTTGAAAGGTTGAAGATGGTGCCAAAATTTCCACGGCATTCGCGAAAGATTTTGAGGGATTTTATGTATGTATGTAAGTAATGTTTTTGTTGAATCTAATGATTGATCTATTACTGGCTGGTTTCTTTAATCTTTTTCACAGCCTGTTTGGATAAGCAGCAGCATATATAGGTTTGTTTAACCTCTGAATTTTATTTATTTATTATTATTTTCCGCCGACAATGAACAAATTATCAGAGCCTAATTAACATGGAAACTCATGGCTCGTTGAGAATAAAAAAATAGGTAAAAACTTACGTTATACTTCTTCATAGATTCTTGTCCGTGAGGCAGATCAAGTTGTAGATAATTAAATGTACTGCATAAGTATCAAATTTTGAGTTATAAATATTACAACATTTATCATGAGTAACAATCGATTTTACTCTAAATATTATCACAATTTTATGTCAGAATTATACTTTTATGTATTATATTACACTTTCAGTTATAAATATTACAATATATATCATTAATAATAATTATTTTAACTGAAATAGTATCACAATTTTATATATAAATATTACAATATCTATTATAAGTAACAATCTATTTATTTCAAATTAGTATTAAATTTTCTGTAATAAGTATTATAATTTCTATCATAAGTAACAAGCAATTACCATAGATCTGACCCGTCTCACGATTTAAGATCTATAAGACGGTCTCATACAAGTGTGGCTTTAAAACAAAAAATTGCCGATTTGACGATTTACAAATATGATATAATAACTAGGAGGACGCTCCACGGGTTGTTAGGTTGTTAAGGTATGGCTGGTTTATTGATCTAGCAGGTCAAGAGGCGCACATCTAAGGTCATATAAGATCGGAGAATACAATATGAGTTTTTGTATTCTCATCCCATCACATAAATCTTCCTAGTGCAGTTTATATTTTCTACAAGTTATTAAATAAAAGCAGGATTTCAAATCAGTTTCACAATAGTCAAAAGGTCTAGAAACACAAGGGGGTCAGGGAATAGTGACAACTCATACACAAAAGCCGATTCAATATTCTTGACACAACATATATAAGCACATAACACCCAACTAATAAACATAATTAAGAGAGTGAGATTGGATAAGATGTAGAAAGAATGGTCAAAATGGGGTTGGATGTATAATCTGAAAAAAATGAATTGAGGGGGGAAATAAAAGTGTGGTAAGCAGCTGTTTGACAAGACATAAACTGAAGGAGCTCCATTCTTTAATCCCACAAACAGCTTTAGGGGTGAAAGTGGGATTCACACTAACACTGTCTAAATCACGGGTTTATCTCTATTGATGATTAGAAGCATCGTCTTGTCTTAATCATGCACGTGAGGACGCCCTAATTAGTGCCCCTAATTATTCCTAATCACATCTTCTTAATTATAATAACATATACTCCGTAATATATGTTTTTTAAATACGTATCGCACCCGGACCACAACTTGCCTGGCCTACCAGCTTGTAATACTAATCTTATTGCCACGACAATGTATCTAACACGCATATATATATATATATATATATATATATATATATATATATATATATATATGAGAATCAATATTAACATGTGAACTTGAGAATCAATATGAACCCTTTATCTAGATTAGTGAACGGTATATATGTCAT